GCGCAAAACTTGTCCTAAAGAAAAAATTAAAAACACCAAAATTATTAACAATAATTTAAATAAACGCTGTATCTCGCTAAATATTAAGTTAAAATTGAATAAATATCAACATCTATGTGAATGGCTTTCACGTAAACTGTAATCTTAATGTATACTGTGACGTCGTGGCAACGACACATCTCAGGTGCATCTAAGGCTTGGCGCAGTCTCACGGTTCTGTTGTTGCTAGTCTGCGATTTCTCGCATAAACTAACAGGATCACTATTCGAAAATTAATAATACCGAAGGGGATAATGCCACTAAACCTGTACTTCTGCTCTTGGATTCTAATTAATAGTTGTAATCCGAGAGCGGGAGGTACCCTGGGTCCTATCAATAGTAGAACCCGGTTTTCCTAATATAAATTTTATTTGGAGCCTATCAAAAGTAGTCTCCAAATACGACAAAGGTAAAATTTTTGGATTGCGAGCTATGCTAAAAGAGAGGAGAGATAGATAAGTAAAAAAAATAAAAAATTTTGATTGCTTACTCTTTTTTTTTTATTTTGTAATTCACTCTTTCGGTCTGCTCGTCTTTATTTTACATTACTTATTTTTCTTGGTTTTCTTATTCCGTCGCTTGGCTGCTTGGCTCTTTGACTGACTTCTTGACTGAGTATTGCTAACTTCTTGGCTGACTTCTCGACACTACTGATTTCCGTGCTTCCTTCAATCTCTGCTTTACACAGTCACTACAATCACTGACAACAACTGCAACTAACTTTAACTCTAACAACTTGAACTTGAATTTTTGTTGATTAATTTTCACTAGACTGACTATCGCGGCCTTGTGCAGGGCTTTTTATAACCTGGGGGCGGTTGGGTGGAAATCCCTTTCCTCAGGCCCATGAAGCGATAACGGCCAAATTTTGCACTGATGGGAAATTTTCTAATCGTATCTAGGATTTCTTTATTGGTCTGTGGGCGTGAATTTTCAGAGAGAGATAGGGCGGTCCCTTTTTAACTTGGGCCCTTTTCTCCAGAAATGGCTGTCGGAGTGCCACTTTTAAGAGCAAGAGTGACGCTATAGTTTATAATTACTTATACAAAATCGTACTAAACTGAGTTAATTTTAAGGATACGTAGTGATTACTTAATAACTATAAATTACAATAATTCAATAATTAACTATTATAAAAATCCAAAAACTTCTAAAGGTTATTATAATATGCATTACGGTACTATTGTTATTTATGCTTAAAACATGAAATTATTTATTAGTTATTTTGTTATTGCAAGGGTTGAACTGGATAAATGATATATTTTTAAAAGATACGCATTATGGTACAATAGTAACTTACAAAATTGATTAAAATCCATTAAATATTACGGATATTTTCTTAAAATTCGGTGGAAAAAAAATATAAATTGCATTTTTATGGCCCCCTTTTATTATCGGCGTGATAACGCTTCACGATGTATACGCGATGATCGTAGGCTCCTGTCAACACATCCGCGTGGGACAAAGCAGGATAGAGCGTCGATTGTAAGGCCGAGTACGCAGGCTCGGGCCATTATCAAGTTTTATATAAACACTTTATCTCGAATACGTTTTCATCGTGGGAAATCAGGAAAGTTCCCGCTCCGTTCTTCATATTTATTAATTAAATTAATATTAAAAAAAACTAAGTTACGACTGGCCGTCACAATACAATTAATTTGCATCATTAATACCAAAAGAAATGTTAATTAAAACTATAATTATTAAATAACTCGCCAAAAACATAGATTTTGAAATTTATACATAGAAATTAATTAAAACTAATAAAAGAAATAGTTTTTTATTTTTTTTTTACATAATTAAGAAAGTTAATACTAATTTAGAAGAATATAAGAAAAATGATACTTAGAGAGCCATCTTTCGAGTCAAAGCCCGAATTTTTTAGACTCACGCTGCCGGTTTTATCCATGTCCCTGCAGCAATTAGGATCCGAAAAATAAAAGAGATAATTGAAAAGATTTCAACCAATCAATTAGAAAAATGCTGTTATTCTTTTCAATTTTGAGGGATCGAGAGAGGGGTTTTCCTCCCAAACACTCCCAGTCTTTAAAAGGGCGTACACGAGCGGAAAAAGTCAGTCTAGCAGTCTACCGCTAGGTAATCCTTGTTAAATGTCATCGAAGCTGTATACCAGGCTAAATAAAAAAAAATAATAAAAGTAGGTCAAAGAAACATTTAATTTATCTTCTATACTTTCCTTTCCTTTCCAATTCCAATTTAGCTTCGTCCACGTTTTCTTTTATCTTTAAAAATCATTCGACATGGTTTGGAATATTTTTCGTCAAGACACTCGCGACGGATTTATCAATTGTTAAATTTTCTGTGGCTATTTCGGCATGGTTTTTCTAATTACATAAATAATTACATTTTATGAGAACGCCAAGTCTTCCCATTAGCTAGAAACATTTTCCCAATAACGAAGTTCTCAAAACTAAAAGAAATCGATTATCAGTTGAAAGATGAAGCCGACAAGTACAAGAACCTTAAAGAATTGCCGAGTGATTCTTTAACAATTAAAGCGGTAATTTATTAATATAATTTTATTATGTTCATTAGTTTGTTCAATATAATTTTATAACTGTATTATTTTACAGGTCAATTTCTTTAGGGACCAAGGAGGCAAAATATAATATATTGTAGTATAATATCAAATATTGAATTGTACGAATCAACGCTCAGATAATCCTTCAACATCATCCTCCTTAGATACTCGTCTAAACTTTACAAAATTCTTGACGATCATCAGATATCTAGTAGGATATGAACATTTTATAGAATTCAAGCAAATCCAAAAAGATGGTAAGACATGATATGCGTTAGTTTCTTCAATTTTCACAATGCTCCAGCTCTTTTTTTAGCTGAAATTTGAACAGATAATATTATTCGTTTCCAAAAATAGTTACTTTATACTATATACCATATTATACTTACAGTCAACATTGTTTGTATCTATGGCTTCACCAGAATTTTTACAAGTATCAGTTGATTCATATTTTTTTGCAATGTTACATCATATTCTACCTTTACTGTTTTAAAATTTATTAAAATTTAATAAAATTATCAATTCATTTTGTCAATTTTTTAAACGGATTCAAAAGGAAATATAATTGCATAAACATACTACAGTTTTCTTTGCTATTTGAATTAGTATTAACATTGTTTTTACTTTGGTTAATATAATCCAATTCCTTGTCTGGAATTTCCTCGTCTTCTTGATCAAAGACAAATGAGTTTTCCTTCATTGAATTATTCTTAGATATGATGTCAATGTTAGATGCATCTAAAAAGTAAAAATGAATAAACTATAATTACAGATTAAAAGTAAATACACATGTTTTTAAGTTTCATTGTACAATATGTAGATGTTTTCAATCGTATATTTACTTTCAAAAATAGACTTTGCTTCACTGTCTGATGAGCCATTGCTAGAACTTTCATTTTCTTCAACATTGTCTGTTAAAAATTCACCACCACTGATATAGTTTTTATCAAGCTTCTTTTTTTTTGTAATCTTGCAAATTTTACTGGTGTTTACATTTTAATCCTCGCCTTACTCTTCATCAATTTTTTTTTAAGTTTCATTGTACAAGAACAAAAATATCTGTTGTTCGCAAGAACTGTAATAGTTTAAACAAAAGAAAAAATAAAGAAGAGACAGTGCCAATGGAAGAAGAATATTGGTTCATTGTGCACTTAAAAGAAAAAAATGAAATTTATTCCATATCAGCATCTTGGGTTACTAACATTGAAGAACAAATGACATCAGAGGAAACAATAAGAAATACAGTATGTTATTGATCAAAAAGTTTGAGTACCACAGAACTTGTTAGGCGAGTCATGAAAAAAGAAAACTATGATCCAAAATGGGAGCTGGAGTTATAATTGAGCTTTTAGCGACTGCGAGTAAATATTTTACTGATTAATTTTCATGTATACGTTCATTGTAGCTTCGCTTTCTTTCAAACCATTAATTTTATAACACATAAAATTCCTCAAACGTTCAACAATACTAGCGTCTTAGAATTTGTATTTATAAATGCCTCTTAACGTTCCCTCGCTGGGGTTGCTATAATTGCCGTTATTTACCCTTCGATTGTGCATTGGATACGAACTTTCTAACAATATTTCTTTTAATAATATTAGTAATCTTGATTTTTAGGAGTCATCCCTATAAATAAACTACACACTTATTTTATAAACGTTTCGCAATTTTATTTATTGCCACCTCAGTACATCTGTTGAATATATATATTATTATAAATAAATGAATTCTTTCAATATTAGCATTGTATTATAATATAAACATACGTTTTGTAATGTAGATAAAATTGAATAAATTAAAAGTTCCTCCGCACATGTATAGTCTGTCATGAACATTACACTTTAATTAAATAAATATTAATTTTTTCTGTCTAATAATAAATAAAAATAAAATAACAATCTTTTGTCAGTTAGGTAAAAACATAGTTTGTCAATACGGTAAAAACACATCATGATCAGCAAATAGTAATCAGTAAATATTTCTTTTACTTTGATAGCAGTTGTAATATAACACGATTAAAAAAATTACGTCACGGTCTTCGATGTGAGACATTCAGTTTAATTTCTGTCGACCAAAAGAAACGTTTTGCACCACGTATTTCTTGACTGTTGCATAAATAAATATTAATTTAATCATTTGACTTAGAATACTCATAATCTTATTTCATCAAATCATTATCTATCATTATATTTTTCATGCAATGAGATCGTTACCTGGGAAACAGATAGCTGTAACAATTTAATTAATAAATCTAATCACTTATCACCTTTACATCTCACAAGAACGATCACAGCCTATATTTTTACGATAAGATAGTTATATCTTATCGTAAAAATAGTTTAAAACTGTTGGGTCTTGTGATATTTCTGTTAGACAACTTATTCTTTTACAACCACAAGTAATTCTTTACTTCTTCGGAATGTCTGCAGCGAAGACATTTTTAATGCTCTGCATTATTTCGTACTCGATGAATCAAGGTAACACATATTGTAACAATTTGAAAAAATTTTATTCGATAGAATATAGTGCAATTCAAAGTATTATATTGACTTTCTTCTTTTTTACATCGATTGTTTTAGCGTTTAGTATTTCCTGCTATCAGTGTGACTCGCGCTATAATCCAGAATGTGATTCATATTCTAAGAAAGAAAATTTTGCATTCCATTGTTCTATTTATGCTAAAAGTTCTGCTTCACTGTTAAACACTACATTACTATCGCTACAAACGAACATTGCTGGAAGACGAGGTAAGTTTTTTATAGTTTACTATTAAAATAGAAATATTTCATTTAGTCCTTTTGAAAATTCCCATAAGTTTCTTTCAGAAGACATGTAAGTAATTCATAATTTAAATTCAACTAAAAATAATAACAAAACTGTAACTTCTGTTGAAAAATTCAACACTTCTCGTTTTAAAAATCTTAATATCTGGAGTATTATTATATTAAAATAAAAGAAATATCAATTTATTTTTGAAACAATGGGAACTTGTAACACTTTTTATTACATAAAAATCATACGAACGTAAATTTATCTTATAATTGTAATAATTATCACTTCCCAGGTATTAACCCCTTTAACGAATGTTTAACGTTAACTGGAAGTAAGTTAATTTAATTGTTACTTTCTTATTAATCTGCATTTAAGAAAAAGTGCTTAATATTAAAATTGTGCATATGTAGCTTGGCAAGGGTCCAAACGTATCATACGGAGTTGTTCATCTACGGCAGTACCAAATGACGTTTTCGAGAATCTTGCAAAAGCACTAGAAATAACAATAGAATCTATCAATCGTTGCCAGTCTGACTTGTGCAATTTTTCCAGTAACCTGAATATTTTATAGGTGCTTTCTTATTATTTCTTGTTATGGACATGTACATCCGTAAAAGGAAAATAAAAATATATTAATAATAAAAAAATATGAGTAATCAATTACTTGTTTTTTTATCAATACTACTACAACCTAATAAAAGAAAAATCTGAAAAATCTTTAAAAATATTTTATGCGTGCGATAAAGTTATAAATAAACAGCAACGAACGCGCAGTACTCCAAGCAGTAAATAACAATATCCTAGAAATTGGTGATTGAGATACATGTGAGTCACGAAATTAAAAACAAAGGATAAAAATTGTTATGTAATTCCTCACATTAATTTTATTATCAAGTAGAGAAGTAGTTATAAATCAAATTTCAGACATTATTGATATTCTAAAACTATTTTTCATTACTGGCAAACATTGATAAAATAAATGAAACGTAAAAGAAACTGAAAATGTGTAGTATAACAGTGGCATGCATAAATTTCTGGCCAAAAAAAGTCATTTAAAATTTAAAGTTTTCAGCACCGTCTAAAATGGTCGTAGAACGCGCGCAGGCTCATTTTGAAGAGTAAAACAATACTCTTTATATCCCGCCGGTATTTTTTTATTAAATTAAAAATTGTGTTTTTTAACCCTTTGCGGCACACATTTTTGAAACAATAATATAAATATGAAAACTGTTACCCGGTAGGTTTTTAAAAAATGGCGACTAAAAATCGATAATTTGATATAGTTATACATTCATTAACATATTAGAAGGATAAAATATTAAAAATCCCCGTGAGCAACGATTTATTAGAGCCCTTCATACATGAAAATCTCATTTCAAAAAGGTGGTAAGTATACTTACCACTATCCCGCAAAGGGTTAAGTTATACGAGCTGGCGCGCAAGACAGCACAGCAATCCGCCGAGCAACTCTTGCTTCGCCGCGCGTCTATCGCTTTTTCTCGTCTCCGAACGCACGGTGCCCACAGCTGTGGCGTCCGGAGCTGTACATATTCTTGACTGTGAATAAAAATCTTTTCTTCACGCAAAACCTTCTTTGTTCGCGACTTTGGAGCGCAAGGCTCATCGAGGACCTTGGACTTGGCACGAGCAGCAGCAGCGGGGACCAGACAACAGCCGGGGCTCCCGCTCCGCTATGACCTTCACAAATCAACAGTTGTACGGTGTAGAAAAAAATGTCTATAACTATTTGTTGCACTAACGATTTATTTTACAGTGCGATATAGTAGCTGGGCGAGATGGTTCTAATAAAAGAGTTGCGTTAAGTGAGTAATTGAGTAAAATATAAGTGTGATAGAAGCATTTTGAACACATTTTAATATGAAATAATAAAATGAAAACTCAGTGACATACACCGCACAATTTTATAATTTTGAATTACATACTGCATGTTATTTCTATCCTTTTGTTTGTCCAACAAAATAAAATACTATCACAACAAAATTAAATAAACTTATATTACACTATTTAAAAAACTACTAAAATGACGTGAATTGAAATTTCAATTTTAAAACAAATAATCCATTTTGAAGATTCATTTTAATTATATATTCTATTTCAGGTGACCAAAGAATAGAAAAAGAAAAAATAAAACTAATAAACTAAAGAGAATGTGAGTTTCTATATTCTAAAACTCCATTGTAATTTATAATTTACAATGATTTAGGTTATTTATGAAATTCATCAAAATTTTTATTAACAACCAAATTATACTTATCTTTTTAGAGCATCTCACTATCACAGCAGATCTAGTGATCTAGCCGCAATGGAAATGAAAATGAAATCATATATGTAACAAAAAAGTAGGTGAAGTGACGTCATTCCCAACAGAGGCGCTAGCAGACGAAATAACTATTTCTTTTAATCGCCGTCCCTCTAGATATATGCTTACTCGTTCTGCACCTGTTTCATAAGTATATATATATACATACTTTGCAGTGTAGCAAAATAGTACTTCCAAATATTGTAGACGTCAGCTTCTGTAAATAGAATTTCAATGTTAGTGATGGTGTTCGTGTAATAGAGTTGGCATTCTCACCGTCCACTCATCATTTGCAATTAATCAAAAGGATATACGTCGAAGGAATTTGAAGAGTTAGTATTCCCAAGATGGAACCAATTATAAATCCCGTAAGTTTTTCAAAATTTTTATTGTTCTTCATTTATTTGAATTGTCATTCGAAAAAATCGTAAAACCAAAATAGCTTTTATTACTGCAATACTGTTTTTATTGCGCGATGGGAAAATTAAATTTTGTTTGAGAATTTGCGTTGCTAAATTTCGCGGCTGATACAAATGAATTTTCTTTTACTTACGTTATTGAATAACAATATGAAATATTCTATTGACTATAATTTACTGCATGCAAGGAGCTGCCTTATGTTGGAGAAGTGAGTCTTTCTCCAGGGAAGATGGTTAAAGTTCAAGGACAAGTGCCTCCAGAATCAACACGCTTTGCTATTAATTACCAATTAGGTCCTGGTTTAAACCCAAGGGATGATATTGCTTTACATGTATCACCAAGATTCAATGAAGGATTCATCACTAGAAATCATATCCAATCTATGACCTGGGGACCTGAAGAAAACAGTGGTCCTATGTGGATAGAGCGTAGTGCACCTTTTGAAATTATCATACTATGCGAATACCAATGCTTTAAAATTGCAGTTAATGGGAGACATTTTACTGAGTTTGGGCATAGATTCCCTTATAGCAAAGTTACTCACTTAGTGATTGATGGTGAAGTAGAAATAAGTTCTATTTTCTATGAAACAATTCCAATTCCTAAACCAGTAGGTCCGATACCTGATCCTCCTATAAATGTTGGTCCACCAGGTTAGCCGAATCTATACAATGATTTATAATTTTTTTTTTAAATTGTAACATTAATTTATAAATAATTGTAGCACCTGGAGGTTTGTACCCTACATTGAATCCACAAGGACCTCCATCAGATCCAGGTGCTCCTGGTGGTCCACCTTCCTTTGAGGATGATTTCAGAAGTAATCCACAAGATTATGGCTATCGACCAAAATCACAGAAATCTGAAGAAGATGATCTTTTTGGTGGATTTGGAGATAAAGCTGCCCTAGCAGTTGGAGGACTTGTTGCAGCAGGAGGTTTAGCAGCTGCGATGCATGCATATAATGTTAGATTACAAATTTAATTTTATTACAAGAAAGTCTAATTTTATTTGTTACTGATTATGATATTTGCTTTACCAGAAAAATAAGCAGAAGCATGTGAATGAAGGTGACCATGAGAGATCTCAGGCTACAACAAATGAAAGTGGTCTAGGTGGATTAGGTGCTTTGGGAGCAGCTTTAGCAAGCAGCTTAGTATCTAATTCTCATGCACAACAAGGCTATCCTCCGCCAGATGCTAAAAGTGATGTTATAGGTTCTATTTTGGGAGCTTTAGGTAAGCCATATTTTTAAATGCATGGATATGATAATTTTGTGATTCTATTAGATGTACAGAAAAAAAATGTTTCACTAGTTCAATATATGATATGAAATAATGAATAATATATAAATTATTTTAATTCTTTCAATATATAAGATCTTAAACTAAAGAGAAATGTCTAAATTTGGTTATAAACTAATTAAAAAAAAGCAGATGTAAAGTAATAATTTAAAATATAGAATGTATCTAAAATTAGAAAATTGCCAATTTGAATGATACTTACATGACATCATACTATGGAATCTGGACTTATTATGAAGGTTAAACTAATGATTCATTTATAAGATAACTAACTGTGAAAATGACTTGTAATTTTGCAGACTATGAAGTTGCTATCTAGGATTGAAATAATTTTGAGATATAACTAAGAAAATTATTTTATTAGAAACAGTATTCAACAATTATTTTAGTCATTAGTAAAATTAAAAAATTTCAATGTTATTTGCTTGATACAATAAAATGAGAAAATGTGAAAATTTTCATTGAATATTTTAGGAGGAGGAGGAGCTTCTCACAATCAGCAATCATTATCTGATCCTCTTGGTGGAGCTTTGGGATCAATTCTTGGTGGACTTGGAGGAGGATCTCATTCTAATCACAATCAACAATCACCACCTGATCCTCTGGGTGGAACTCTGGGATCAATTCTTGGAGGAGTCCTTGGAGGCGGTGGTCATCATCAACAACCTCAATATCAACCATCTGGGGGTTATGGAGGCTATCCACAAAACCAAAATTCACAAGCTGGCAGTAGTGGTAGTGATTTACTTAGTGGTTTAGGAGGAGCTTTATTCAAATCAGCACTTGATGGCTTATCCAAACATGTAAGTTACAAAGTTGAAACAAGAATTTGGTCAAGAAATAGACCAAGTGCTTGAATAAAAATTCTATAATATCCATAATATTTTACGACTTTGAGTAGCTTTACTAATTATAAAACATATTTCACTGCTCTACTCACATAGATTTTTCGATACGGCGCACAGTGATGGAAATCGGAAACAATTCGAGCCACGCGCCAATTTTAATTGAATCCTAACAATTGTTGTGTTATTCTTCTCTAAAAGAATTTCTTCTGTTTTATGTGACTGGTGAAATAATTTCAATATCAACCCCTATAACCACCCTTATCAACCCCTAGGTAGGCTAACCCACCTGACCCAGGATAGAGCGAGATCAATCAACTGTTTCTTTTTACAAAAATCTCACATGATACAGGTTGGTTAGCCTATTTGTGGTTCAGATAATTGAGATTTTTGTAAAAAGAAACAGTTGATTGATCTCGCTCTATCCTGGGTCAGGTGGGTTAGCCTACCTAGGGGTTGATATTGAAATTATCTCACCAGTCACATAAAACAGAACAATTTTAGAGAAGAATAACACAAAAATTGTTAGGATTCATTAAAATTGGCGCGTGGCTCGAATTGTTTCCGATTTCCATCACTGTGCGGCGTGTGGAATAGTACATTACGGTACAAGTGCGGGAAAGTAGATTCTTGTCTCGTGTAGCTCTTACGCTCGAGCAAAGCAAGTTTACTTGTATCATAATGCACTATTTTCAATGCAAAGTTGTTGGCTGAGCGTGCGAAAAAACTATTAAGTGTTTAAGCCTAATTATGTCTGCTTTAACACACATTTTATTTATAAAATTTATTTATTTTTGCATATTGTTTCAATAATATTTTCTATCCAACTATATGTATTAATAATACGTATCTAGTATAGTTATGTTAATACAACTAGTATCAACATAACTATGTGTATTTTCCATTCTTTATTCGTGCTTCTTTTTCTTCTGTTCTATATATTATTTCTCTTACAACAAGCATTTATCTTTAAAATTTTCTTAACTTTTTTATTAATTTATGAAATCATTAATAGATAATTTTTTTTATTAAGGATGAAAAGTAGAATGGACAATTTCACAATAAAAAGTAAGCTACATATTGAAATATCTATATCTGCTTCAAATCTTTAAGGTACAAAATTTTAAAGGTTGTTGATAATAACTAAGAGTAATTGTGCTTACAATAATTGAAAAAATAGTTACAGTATTTTTCATTTATTAAATAAGCTTGAGTGATCATGAGAATGCAGCTTACAGTTCCAATAATTTAAGCAATTTTAATGCGTTTAATTTTGTACACAATGGTTTTTTTTTGGTCAATCATATGCAATCTTTTACATTAGAAGTCTTGGAATACTATTGGTATGAATTAAAATTCTTTTTTTGCTACAATAAAAAATTAGAGATTATATTTACAACATAATATTATCTAAAATAATATTAATCCTAAGTTCTTGGAGCAGAAAAAATTTATTGCGACAAACAACAATAATAACGAAAAAATTTAAAATATTTATTTTAAAACTCATTCCTTCTATTCAAATTTTGAACATAATTTATTTTTGAAGTTCATTAACATTTTTGGAATAGAAAGATTGATGTTGAATTATCATTAATGCTTACTTGACAATACATGTCTATCCATTAAAAAATAATATATTTTGATACTAATGCGAAAAAGTAATTTGAACCTCTTGTGGACGTTTGTGTCCGAATGAAGCAAGGGTAAAGAGGTCATACGAAGGTTTATTAACATAGAGAAAGTATAAACTCTTATATCTTGTAAGGTTTACCGAGCGAAGGTATTAAAATCTGAGCTTTCCACACATGCTGATAATAGTACATTACGATACAAGTGCGGAAAAGTAGATTCTTGTCTCATTTGGCATTTACGCCCGAACGAAACGAGAGTGGACAGACACACGAGACGAGAAACTTTTTCCTGAACATGTATCGTACAAACTATGTCTAACATGTTCGAGAAAGAAATTCTCGTCTCGCGGAAAAACGCGCGGAAAGTCTTGCTTTGCGCACGCTTGATCAACAACGTGTACTAACATCGAGCAGTTTCCAAATATTACATCAAAAAGTAATCTACCTAATATATTTAGAAAAGAGTATTTGCTTCTCAGCACTTAGATAGTGTATTATTTTATGATTATTATTTTATTGATACTATTAACTTAATAATGCACTTACTTGATGTTATATTGCTAACCCTAAATGTCAAATAACTGCTTGCACTACAGCGAAAATTACAGAATAATGTGTCAGCTTCTACTAATGAAAGCTCTTTAACTAAAGAAAAAAATATAATGTGTATAACCATCATTTGACCATAGTCGCACAAACCTCGGTATGGCAACGATGAGCCCAGCGGCGGGCATTATTCGGCGCCTCAACCTACGGCTCATTACGACGGCAGACATGACGGCGACTATAATTCACCTCCGTCACGACCACCACCTCAAGCACCAAGTCCACCAGCTTCAGGTGGCGGGAAACTCACCGCCGAGGAAATTTCCAAAGGTCTTGGACTTGACGATTAGCACCTTCCGCTGAACACCTGTGTTTTTTCAAACTATGCACTTTACAAAAAGCTTTAAGAGTTCATATTTTTGATTCTACATATGATATTATTAGTTATTAACAATTAGACGTCATTTTAAAGTGCACAGCTTTGAGTGCTACACTTATTTATACATAAGTACAAATTGTGAGAAATTATATTAACTCTCTATATATGATAAATTGTTATAAAAGCATCATTTTTATTGTAAAACTGATGAATTTTAAAAATTCATCTTAAGTTCAGCATTTATAATTACATTATGTAAATTTATTTTAATTGTAAGTTTATATTACAAGTTTTCATGGATAATGGACATCTATGTTAAGGGTAATAATTCAAAGATCTAATTTTTTTTGTATTAAAAATCAACAAAGTTTTTGTCTTTTAAATGTCACAGATCTTATAATATATTTATTTTGAAAAAGATTTTAATATCTACAAAACACATTGAAATTAAATATATTAAAACTTGCTTAGTTTTTATTAAATGACCGATTTTTGAGATATTTTTATTATTTAATAATACGATTTATTAAAAAGAGTAAATTTATTATATAATATTGATTTTACTAATTTTTTATGGTGGTATCACCATTATATTCAAAACAGTTGAATTTTGTTTGGAATGAAAATCATATTGCTTTTCACAATTATTTGAATAAAAGTATCCTCAATATTATAAATATAAAACTGCGAGTTTTATGGATTTATTAAATGTCTATTAATATCTATCACTGGATCTATTAATATACTATCACTGGAGAAAAAATGTTCTCTATGCATTGTTAAAAAATGTATTAATGTATACTATTTTCAAATGTTTGAAATCTTTCAGCCTTAATTTACAACTTAAAATTTACTACTACTTTACTTACAGTTGAGTTTGTATTTTTATCACGCTAATAACCATTATAATAATTGCTTTTGAGTAATTTTTTTGAATACTAATAATATTTATCTTCCATAAATTTGCCTACAAAAGCAACGAATGAATTGTTTTAATTTGATTTTTGATAGAAGCGTATTTTTACATATACATTTTACAGCTTATTGGCTGAATATTTTAAAGTTATTTTACTTTTAGAAAATAAAATTATATATTTATACTATGTTAGATCTGCTCAAAAATTATATAAATAAAAATATATCTTTTTCAACAGTAATTACCGTAGAGTTTTAATGTCCTTAAAATTAAACTTTATTTTAAGGGGTAACACTATTGTAAAATTTTCCAAAAATCGATTTTTTTCCTTAAATGGTAGAGAAACATCTCAAAATCAATGTCCTAAAGTAGTTTTGCAAAAAAAATTTTTTTCCCCGAGTTATGAGCATCAGACCCTAGGCGCCCCGTTGCGCGCTTAAGCTCACGCAGCGCGCCCATCGCTCCGAAATACTTACCTGCCTCAGGCATCCCTAACGACCTATTCCTAGTCGTACATAGTACACACAGATACCTACAAATGTCAGTAGTTGAATTTTGAACTGCATTTGTGTGAGTGTATCAGTGTAGCGTCAGTTTAACCGTTGTGCACGCTGATTCGAACACCGTGTGTAGATTCAAAGTAATATTCTCGCACAAATTTTGTATTCGATATGACGCCTACTAAAAAAGGATTTTTTACGAAAAAAGGTACGAAATCAACAATCCGGAAGGCAGGCAGAGGAAAGAGGCGTCCTTTGAATCGTTACGAGTCAGAAGCTGATTTCGAAGAAGTTAGTGCGTCGGCAAAAAAATTGAGAAGAGACAGTACGCGTGATCCGATGGTCGACCCTACTTTCTCTTACTGTTTTATTGCTTTTGTGTCAGTGTTTACAGAAATGTCAAATCATCTTGTATGTGGCATTTGTCATTCACCAGTGAAGTTTTTCCAATCTTCAAAACGTGGCTTCGGTTTCAAAATTGACATTGTCTGCGACACGTGTGCCAAAAACAGCAGAGATAAAGTGATTGCCAGCATTCCTAATAGTCCATTTATTCGAAACGCATACGACATTAACCGCAGAATAGTATTGGCAATGCGTTTGATAGGAGTGGGACTAAATGGATTATTAAAATTTTGTGGTATTATGGATATTCCTCCGCCAATGTTTCAGTCATGCTACGACTCCATTGTAAAAACGATGTCTGCTGCAACAGAGAGTGTGCGTAATGCAAGTATGAAGAAACAGCAAAGGAGGAAGCCGAATTATCTGCTGAAAAAGGACAAACTAATGGACTAACAGTTTCTGGCGATGGAACCTTGCTGGACCTTGCTGAACCTTGCATGGACCTTGCTGTGTGTATCTTCAATGATGGAATTTCAAGCGTTATGGAGGTGATGACAGTATTAGATATGACAATTGGAGAAAACTGCTACAATTACTGCATGGAGTTCGACGAAACACGTATCGCACTCTCGGAGCGCTCATTGACTGACGCGGCGAGAGAGGCTCGATTGAGTTTGAGAACGTCGAGGATTAAAGAAGAACAAGAGAATGCCAGCTTGGAAGTAGAACTTTATGGCCCTGGTATCGCTGACTAAAGGTAAAAATCATAAAAAGTTAATATTTCTAACGTTATCACCAAGTTTCGCCATTTTCAAACTTCAAACGCGATTTTCTCGAAACCACTTTTTTCCACACGGCCATCAAAGTTATTCAGCCAATTTTTATCCGATCAATCTCAAATTTTGACACAGCCTTCGAAACATCATTTCCAAGGGAACCACGTAGGATTTTTTGAAAAAGTTGAAAACTTTTTTATTTACGTCTGATTATTTGCGATTTTTTTAGCGAAAAAGACCAAAATTTTTTTCAAACTTATGCCAATTTGTGAAAATTTAATATTTTTGAAAACGGCTACGTGGTTCCCTCACTTTTAACTCTAACATGAAGAAAAAATTTCGATTTTGTGTTTCAGATGAATAATGACGACAAAAAAGTGATGGCCATGGAGGCCTCCTTAAAAATTCTATCATCGCTCATAGCTGTGTGCAGCCGCCATTTTTTTTTTTATTGCTTCGAAAAAATTATTTTGTGTAGTTAATATCATGTATAAGAAAGTTATTAAGTCCAATTTTCAATATAAAACTATGTTTCTTTTAAAAAAATTCCAAAAAAGACCTTCAAAAAGTGTGGTCTACAGTAGTATTACCCCTTAACATGATATAAATGAATTACAATGTTATCAGGAAGCTATTTATTCTTGCATGTAAAAAATAAAGACTTTTATTTTAATTTAGAAAAAATCAACGAAATATGAGTAATTCTTGGCTGTTCCAATGGGTCTAGAGATACAAGGTCACGGATTTTGTTTTATATTTTGCACAAGATTTGTGCATATTGAAGTACGTTTCCTCCTAAATTTTATTCATAAAATATTAATTATATTAAACAAGTTTAAGAGGCTATATTTTAAAAACTAATAAAGATATCCAAGTAAACGTTCTTTTTTTAAATACGTATAATATCTTAAGCTTTCCATATAATCACTACAATAAACAGTAATTTTTCTTTTTTTTAAATTATTTACTTTACTTTTATACTTTATATTTATTTTTAATTTTAACTTTGTTCGAGATGGGTCCTCGTTCGTCAACCGCCACATCTTGGGTGCATGTGTAAAACAGCCATTATTGTTTGTGAAGTCGCCACATGGTGAGTTTTCCCTAAAATTTCGAATTTATTGTAGTGTCGTATTTCACGGTCGTAAAATAATTAAGCGTTGCTGCTCTCAATATCTTTGCGTCTCATTTCCCTCAGCGCTTAAAATTATAACGAGTTATTAGATTAAGAATGTTAATCAGGTCGAAGCGACAATATCAACGATCGGTTGATTCCCGGCGCCTCTCCCTTTCTACTTTACTCGAAGCTCGAGAAAACGAGCATGGGTGTAAAAGCGTTACCATGGCCATGAAGCCGCCAGCTCCAAGAGTTTGGCTCTTTGAGGCTGTAAGAACTCGTGAGAAGTGCTTCTGGGTATTGAAGGTCACCTAATACGGAAAAAGCAGCGGTTAAGCTGTCTTTAGGCCAGTAGGCTGCAGAGCAAGGAGAAGGGTCAGTCTATATCTTCCGTTCTTCGCTCGACTTGCCTTCTTCACCGCAAATCAAGTATAGAAAATACTTCATAATATATGTACAGAAAATACTTCAATACTTATTGAATCATAGAAAATACTTAAGTACTTATTGAAATATAGAAAATACTTCAATATATTGAAATATTTTTATAATATGCTACAATGGATTATTACTTTATATTGTTAAGAAGAATGGAAGTAAAATTAAGTTCGTTATTAAATAATTCAACAAATATAAAACTAAGCTATAAGTTTTTGATCAATGATTGTTTTTTTCAATTTTAACTAGTCAATTCAATTTTTTTATTACTTTGTTTAGAATTATGTTATTTTATATAGTTAAAATATTATTTATAAAATTGGCATGTTGACAAACTTATAGAAAACCTTAGAAAAAATTATTTATGTATATGTACATAAAATGTGAATGGTTAATTGAGTAGAATTTGAATTACTTATTATAATTACGTAATGTAGAACTCATATAGGGATATCTGGTGATTAGCAAACGTTTGACCTGCTTTATCGACTAACTGCCGCATATATTACTAATTTTTACATTTTCATCAATTTTGGATAGAAAATCGACAAAAGGAACATTGTTTCGTAATCCGGGAATAAGGAGCTATCATCCGCTATCGATATTATTTCTTTTTAAACAGGAGAAAAATGTTTAATGCATTTTGCGCGCTGTACGAACACCCGATTTTTTTCGCAATTTTCTTAAAAACGGAAAATCCGGAAATAAAATTTCAAGCGGAGACATAATCCGGAAAAAGGGAGAAAACGTTTTAGCTCATGAAAACTCAAAAATATGATTAAAAAATTTTTTTAGGCGTCAGATTCACAAGTCTTGCACAGGCTGGCATTCACTTCTAGCCTTGCAAAGTGAGCACATGAGTATGAATAAACTTGGCTAATACATACGTTCTTTCTCTCATTGTAATTAACTGAACAAGACTTCCTCTCCTATAATTCGAGCTCAACTTATAGAACATCTCGCGCTATAAGAAACTTGGGCCGAATTATATCCAATCCCAAGAAAACTTTATCTCTGCTTATAGGACAATTCGCACCATAAGAAACTAGGGCATAGTCTGAATTTCCTTAAAACCTCAGCCATATTCGCATATATTTGATTTTTCAATTTATTTGACATAAGTAGAGTAGATTTATTAGAAACGAATTCTTACTCATTAGCGCAACTAGATACGAGAGTTTGAATTATTTATAAGTGATACGAACATCACAACAATTAAATTTTGTCTATCAATAAAAAAAATAGCTCCAAGTATATATGCAATCATTTTTATTCTTCTAAAGTGAAGAAAAATGAAATATTGAAAAATCAGGCTACTTGATATTATGACGGAAAAAAAATGTTTTCATATGGTTATGAAAAAATTTTTGCGTATTTTCCTTACAAAATAGAACATTATCTTTCAAATAAACTTTTTTCTACGATTCAAATTTTCCAAGATCAAAAGCAATAAATATAGACGCTGATTCTGAAGGAAACGCTTTTATATTCGCTGAATCTAAATCAAAAATATTTTTAAAAAAGTGCTTTGCATAGTACATGAAAAGAACAAAAATGGTTTTTTTTTATTTTTTCTATTTTTTTCTCAAAATGGCAAGCGGTTATAAATACGACAAAAATGTTGTAATTTTTGTTTTGATTTTTGCCTCGCTATATGCAAAAAATATATATTAGCATAATTTTAATATACACCATTTAAAAAACCTGAAAAAATAATCTTTCAAATAAGCTTCCGCAATGTTTTATATAGGTTTATTTTCAGTCAATATATGGAACTCTAAGTCGTTTTTGTTCGACTTCTCGGATAGATAAAGATTATTAGGCAAGAATATATTTTTAATTGAAAATTTCATATTTTAATGTATAATATATTTAATGTGTAATTTTTTATTATCATTGTTATTATTATTGTTGCTATATTCTTAAATAAATATCATTAATTCATGAAATAATTAATTGATTTCTTGAAGTTTATTTGACTTTATTTCATAAATAAATTGATGTGTGTGGGTGCGCGCGCGCGTCTGTGTATGTGTGTGTGCATGTGTGTTATTTCAAGGATGAAAACTTTGTCGGTAACTTCGGAATCTACATTTTTTTAACTTAAAATATAGTATAAGATCGAGCAGAGGATGAGTATATATATAGTCATCAGAATTACAGATTGCATTGCCATTGGGTGTACATTCAAAAATTGCGTTGTCGTTAGACATCATCGTTGTGCGTGCGGTGACCAACATTACGAAAAATCAAATTATACTTTTCAATTGTTATTTTAATTAACATTTTTATTTATTTTGTTAATAATCCATCGTTATCAATTAATTATCACAATTTTTATGGCTATGAAAGAATTCTTTTCGTTTTAATAACTTTTGACTCAGACTGTATTCCTCGTCATTAATTGTTGGTGAAATTCTGACAAGATACCGGTGATTATGTTATGAGTGTACTATCGCAGGAAAAAACAACGGACATATTTTATTTATCACTTATAAAATAAAGTAAGTATTTCAATATCGAAGGCAAAAATAACTGACTAATTTCGTTCTAATGAAATTTAAATTCTAATTTTCAAACGTATGGATATTAAATTGTTTTGACGCTAATCTCTAAAGAATCATAATCATAATAATGCATTGTTAATACTATAAAAGAAATCTTCGTTGAATCATGAAGAAAATCACTACATTCAATTCTTAGCACATTGTTACATTGAATTTTTGCTTTATGTTATTATTAAGTGTTTGTGTTGTATAGAGGTTAGTTGTACAAATTTTAATTTATTTTTACCGTTGTATGTATACATACTGTTGAATTTTTATTCTAAACAAAAAATATATTAATAATAAAGGTTATTTTATGTGAACCTGGAATAAATGGTACATTATTTTTTAGATGCCAAATAGTGTAAAAGATGATTCAGAACCAGAAGGAGATGAAATGTCTCATGTCAGTAATGATAGTAATGCTTCCACATCATCTACTGAAAGTAGTGAAGAACATTCAGATAGTGATGATTCTTCTGATATGGATGAAGAAGAATGTGAAAAACGCAGAGCTGAATGTGTCGAAAATATGGAAGATTTGGAAAAGCAATTTCACTTACTCAGAGAAAAGTAAATAATCTGTTTTTGTAAATTTTATATTAACTGTTATTGAACATATGAATTACAGTTGATTATTACAATTTATTGTTCTTTGTGTCTAAATCATTGTTCTGCCATGCCATTTTGATGTTCTAGATCAATATAGGCAATAAAAATTAATATTGTTCTAGATCTATATAGACAAAAATGGAATCAAAACCTTGTTTAACGTTTTATTCACAGATCTAATGACAAAGAATCTAAACCAGCTAATGCTATCAGTCAGAACAAATACTTTTTGTTAACTCAGTATCTATTCTGACCAACAGCATTAACTGCTATCAATTTTTTCTGAAGAGATTAATGGTTCTGTTAACAAAGCATTAAACAGGGTTTTGATTTCTTTATTGATTACACCAATCAAGGGCAATGATATTAACACAATTTATTGTTCTAATTAAGATTGAGTTTGATTATATATGAATCTTGAAATGTAATATAATATTACACATGTTTTCACTTTTATTTTTTATAGAGTATACGAAGAAAAAATAGCTCAAATAGAAAAAAGTTTGATTGAAATCAGAGGAGAAAGATCTGAAGAGTACTTAAAACATGTTGAACGTCTTCGAGAAATTATGCGAACAAAAGAAGCAGTTGCTGAGGTACTGAAAAAATATAGATTAGAAAATATTAGACATTTATTTTCATCTGAAGAATTAGCAGCATCTCAAAATTTAAATAGTGAGAAAGGACTTTTACGAGACGATATTCAAGAAGAACTACAAGAAAAAATTCGCGTATTAGAAGAAGACAGAAAAAATAGTGACTTAAATACAGATCTTTGGATTTTATCTAATGGAAGAAGACGTAAAAGGTCTCAAAGAAGAAAGGCTGTGACCGTACATGGACCTTACATTGTATACATGTTAAACGAGACAGATATTTTAGAAGATTGGGCATTAATAAAAAAAAGTTTAACTTCTTTCAAGACAGAAATTATGTAACTAAGATTCAATTTACTAATTTAATATAGATTTGTAATTTTCGTTTGAACCATTAGCTTATATTTATAATATATTTCGAAAAAATTTTGAAATATGATTAGTATTTTATGTAAAACAAACGTTTTCTAAATAGAGCAGAACCTTATGTTATAATAGATATTTTCTCTAAGGCTTAAAACTAAATAGTATTTCGTAATTTTTGGTGAATAGAGCAGAATTTTGGTTGATAATATAGTAATTTATGGATGTTAAATAAAGTAATCTATCATTATAGATGATATGAAATTTATTAACAATGCTCATAGTACGTAAATTTAAATTTTTAAGCAATGAAATTTGTAAGCAAAAAAAACATAAAGACGATTCATAAAATAATTTACAAGTTTGCATGTAGATTTGCATTTATTTCTAATATTTCCAAAAATGAATGTAATATAATAAATTTTAATTTTGAAATTGGATAAGAAAAATGAAAATAAATAAAAATAAAACTAGATAGGATAGATAGGATTATGATGGTTATTTTATTAATAATAATCAATTACTCAACATTGCAAAAAAACGAGAAACTTGTACACAAGACAAAAATTATAAGAGTATTGTTACATAATACTCGTTTTCATTAAAATATATGTTCAAGTTGTAAATATTGCGATAAAGCTTTTTAGAAGTAGTTTTTTACCATGGCGAAAATTTATCAAAACACTGTCATCCCCTATAAATTTTAATATTAATTTTTATACTTATAGTTTTAGAGGGAAATTAATATATTTTGAAGGTAGATAGTACATTTGTGTGTGTGTGTGTGTGTGTTCATGTGGAGTGCCATCCACTCCGGTACAATACCTCGTGATATTTAAACAATTACTAATTTGCGTTTTTATCAGTAGTGAAATATATTTAAGAACTATACATGTATTGATTAATATATGTACCTCCTTTTAAGGTGCATCAATCTGCATAACTTTGATCATTGTTATCGTGCCTTCATCTCTATTATTTTTCAAAAGAGAGTTTTTCTGTTAGAGAATTGAGAAAAACTATTCAAGTTTCAATATCGGTAAAAAAAAAATTATTCCATTATGATGAAGTATAAAAACTTTGCTTTTGCAATTTTCCAATTGAGCGTACATTCGTTTTCTTCAAAGTGATTTCTTTTTCTCTAAGACATATTTGTCAGCTATATTTAAATGTTTCTAAATATAACGACGAGTTTCGTATGTTTTGTAAAGATTCTTTCGGATTTTATAACCTTCTTGTAACAATTGTTAAAGTATTGAAATTATTCTTCACGTTTCTTCTTGTGCTATTTTTCGAATAAAAACTTCTTCATACTACCAGTCCATTTAAAAAGAATAAATCTTATCTATCTGTTTCTTTCCTACCCAATTACTCAATGTAGTTTCTACTATCTATTATTGCTATTTATTTATATTTCTTATTAATTTCTTAATTACTCAATATAGTTTCTACTATCTATTATTGCAAAGGAAAAATATGAAACTTACAAAATATTTCTAAAGCATTAACAAATTGAGAAACAAGCGTCATAATTACCGAGTAAAAAAAGAATTACTAATTAGATTTGAATTTCAATATTCCATAGTCCACACACTTTTTAAGAAAGGTAAAAACTGGCAAGCGAGTATAGACATTGGCGTCTCATTATTGCAAAACATATTTTTAAGTATCATCGGAAGAGAACAATTTCCATAATTTTAGTTCATAATTTTATGTTTAGCTTAATCAATATTTTTATCGCTAGTGTTCCCTCAATATTGCCGATATGAATGTCAGCACCATGTTTCAAGAGCATTCTGATACAAAATATATAAGCGAAATGTAATACTAAGTATCCTGGTAAGAAAATTGAACCTGCATTAATTTTATCGTATAGTAACCTAGAGAGAATCGTGAAATCAACTTTATGCAGGTAAGTATAGATTTATCGCACTTAATTAATATCAAATAGAATACTGCACTAAAGTAGGAAATGTTCTGAATTTAATTTTGTACAGGCAAGTAAATAATTTTAACTCAAATTTGTTAAAATATTAAAAATATTTTAATTCTTACTTTGGAGCAGAAAATGATTTATTGAAAACGAATTTTCTTTGCAACTACTAAGCCTTAATTAAATGAATGAAAATTATGAAACTGTTCCTCAGGCCCGTGGTTATAAGAAAATCAATAACAATAAATATTCTTTTACGATGATACTCCTAAAACCATGTTTTGTAATAATGAGACGTCAATGTCTACGCATCTGTAGATTTTTACTTTCTTGAAAAGTCCATGGGGAGAGAGAGAGATTTTATTTAAAGTGTATCATAGGTCTTAATATTTATTACAAAAAATGTTAGAAGTTATTTAATGAATCGGCGTAGCGCCACGGTGACGATTTCTGACACATTTTTGCAACATTTTCATTAATGGCATAAAAAACGGTGACATACAATTTCGAACACAGAAATCACTTCAGAATTCAATTAACTTCGTTATATCACAGTTTCGTAATGTTCTAAAATTTCTTAATACTTTATTAAAAAGAAATGGAAAATTTTCTATTTTGTAAAAAAATACATGAAAAACTATATTTTGTCTATTTTGAACTAAATTTTAAAGCAAGTAGTACCATTAAAATTGTTTTAACGATTCTAATATGATATTCTCATTACAAAAGCCATGTAATTACAATACAAATTTCTTGGTATATTCATTAATATGCCAAAAAAATCTTTCGAAATGTAATACTGTAAATAAAACTAACTGCAACAAAAAATAAATAATGAATATTGAAATGGACTGACGATCGAAAAAAGAGAATAATTTGCTTAAATTTATACTAAAAACGTATTGTGATTTTACCCTTTGGGCAGCTCGCGTCAACTAGTTAAAATACTGGTGTGGGTGTTCTTTCAGGTTCTTTCTATCAATTAAGCAATTCTTTACTCATTTGATTCTATTGATAACAATTTTTTTATTTTTCTGAAATTAAAACAAATTTGTTTGAAAATTCCTTTTGGATAAGAAAATAAAATAATACTTCATTGAAAATGAAAAAAAATACTGTACCTTTCGTTTGCTATATTCCTTGTAACGATTTGATTTAAAACTTTATAATACTTCTGAACCATTTATATACGAATATTTTTATGTATAATATAATATGTCATTGTAAATTGTAAAACTATCATTAGATCAAAACAAAAAATTAATTTGAAATAAAGAATAGTATTAAATATTAAATATAATAGCATATTTAATAACCTGTAAGAGATGGCTATCGGAAGATTGTACAAAAGAAACATGTTATGTTATTTGCGACGAAATTGAGAAAAAACAACCGTTATAGTAATTATAACTTTTTACTGCATCAGGAAAAAAAATAAAACAGACTTTTTATGAATTTTTAGGCTCACGCTAATTTATATTTGTAAATAGACTATAAGGGTAACTTTTACTTTTTTCAATGAAGAAAACTCTTTCACGCAAATCAATTACAATATTACCTTTCAGAAAAGTTATCATCCACACCAAAATATTTTCCTAATAACGTAGAATAATAATGAAACTCTGAAATTTATCGAATCTCCATATTTAGTTATTGCGGTGCGATTAATTATTTTTACAGATAATTACCGAATAATGATTTGAAAACGTTTTAGAAATGTTTTTTTGCAAGATTTCTAAACGTTTGTAGATTTTGATGAAAAAAAACCGTTTTTAAAACGTTTTTACAACTTTTTCCAAACGTCAGACGTTTTCAAAACACTTTTAAAATGTTCTCAAAACGGTTTTTTAATAAATTTTTTTATAGCTCTGAAACATAGAGACATTTGTACAACGTGAAATTTGTCCACTCATTTTTTAATTTATAGAGTAAGCTATCGTTTTAAAAATGCTTTAAAAACATTTCATTAAAACGTTTTATGGACTGAAACATTCAAACGTTTTAAAAACGTATTCAAAATAAATAAGCGTAAATAAACTACACAAGTCTATAGAATATGTCACTACCATTTATATTTTTTAATTATAACAATTTTTAATATTATTTAAATTGATAGTTTTTCTGAAAAGGCTGACAATCAGATAGTACGAGTTTTTAAGTTTCACGGATGACCTTTGCCACCGATCAGAATTATTAAATAATGAAAGATGAAAAAAACTCATATTTCATCCACTGGATTATCATAAAAAATACAGTATTAGTTCTACAACAAATTACAAAACATAGAAAGAGTAGCCACAAATGAGCTATCATTAGCAACTTATATTTATATATAATTATTTAAAGCAAAGAATAGAGCTGGTCGTTGTGAGTATATTCAGGTATATTTTGTTTTTCATTTTTTTAAAAAGCCAGGCTATTTTTATTCTCGTTTTTAAGCATTGTGATCGATTGATATCTAGAAAGAGTGCAAAAATTAAACGTTGTTCCAGGATATCTGATTTTGCTTGTCAAGTGAAATACAAATATATAAATGACTTGAAAGAGCCTACGTATTTAGTTTCTGTTTATTAACGATAATTCAATGATTTTCAGTACATTTTACATATTGCTGTAAATTTTGTCCTTAATTACCCTGTTGGAAATAATTTTCGCATAAAACTGCTGCACGTAGTTATTTGTAATTTAAAATAGTTTATAAACGTCAGATTTCAGACACGTATAACAGTTTATTAACAGTTATTTTCTGTCAGTAATAATTAACAACTAGACAATTTTAGAAATGCACCTTTTATCATAAAAAAATTTGATATTAATAACAGTTATAAACAGTTTTAAATCAATTTTAAAAATGTAAATAATTGTTTACAATTGTAATAAATATTTAGTTATCATATATGATAATTAAGAATTATTTTAAACACTTATATATTGTTATTATTTTTTTTATTTTTTGCTTATAAGTATTTTTTTCGTGTCCGATATTGGCAAATTAATAATTACAATTAACTGCAAATAATATAGTTAATAATTTTTTATCCTAATAGGATAATAATTATAGTATTAACTACGTTTAACGACGGTTATAAATTGTAAATAATTGTTAGCAAATGTAACTAACTGATGATTTCTCTTTATTTTAATTTTATGCGTAAATTAATTCCGACAGGGTACTGATAATTATAATTTCTACATGCGAGGATTGCAAGGTATTATTGAAAAAACGTTCCTAAACTAAGTTTCTGTCCAATAATCATAGTTTTCCCAGCACTCGAGTTTGATTATTTATTTTACAGGTAAATAAGCTATGCACAAATGATTTTTTTACAGTTGCGTGAGACGCAGCTTTTGCACAAATTAGTGGATAAAAATTAAATAATTATATTGATAAATAAATGCCTAGTTTACATGGTTAAATATTTGCCATTGTCAGTCAATGGCTGAGAAACTAACTCACGTCAGAGTGAGTCAGAGTCAAAATCAACCCCCTCTCTCCCTATACACACATATACACTGCTATATGTACTGCCATATTGTGAAGCTTACATGTAAACTAAACGTAGAAAAAAAAAACAAAAATATTCAACCATTGCTAATATTGATGTCGACATCAATAAAGTTTAACATCTAATACATACTTATTTTTCTGAATGAAATAAATGGTGTTATCATAAATCTTCAATAAGGTAAATAAAAATTATATTACTAAATAATAGATCAATTCTAATATATTAGGTTATGAAGAAGACTTGATGAACACATAAGAGATAAGAAGGATAATTAAACGAACAATGAAAGTTTAAGCATTATCGTTGAGCAGTATTTTTTATTCTAAATGTACTATTTTTCATTTTCAAATTAATTTAAACAGATTCCATAGTTTATTTTTTAACTGTTTTAGATTTATGTTTTTATGCAACTACACTGTAGCTTAAAGTGATTAGTAAAATACGGGCATTATTATAAATACTTCTACTACTTTCAAATCTAAGCTAACCACTTGAAGTGACCTAAATACTTACAGTTTTTAAGGATTATTATTCATTTATTTTTGTAACTACACTAAATCCTAAATAGTTTAATGATTCAGTTACCTAAACTAATAATTTTGATGACAGAAAATGTCCAACTCGTCAACAAGTGCACCAGTCAGTCAGATATTGAAAAATGCTAGCACATTTGAAGATGAACCAAGAAAGAAAAGTCGCGAAGACTGGCGTAAAGCAAAGGAGCTTGAAGAGGCTAGAAAAGCTGGTACTGCACCAGCTGCTGTAGATGAGGAGGGTAAAGATATCAACCCTCATATCCCACAATACATAAGTTCAACACCTTGGTATTATGGAGCTTCGGTAAACACTTAAACTGTTTTAATAACATAAATAATATATTAATTCTATTTCAGATTATCTGATGGAAAATTATTTACATGTCTAATTATTTAATTTTGTAGTCTTACTGTTAGTAATTTAGTGAGTTTATAGATTAAACTATAAAACTTATTACTTAATTTTTATTTTCTAGGGACCTACATTAAAACATCAGAGACCACAACCAGAGAAACAAAAAGAATTTAGTGATATAGACAAATGGTATATTAGAGGACAATCAACAAAGAAAGCGACTAAATGGCGTGAAGGAGCATGTGAAAATTGTGGAGCTATGGGACATAAAAGAAAAGATTGTTTTGAAAGACCTAGAGCCAGGTTAGCTAGATTTACTAATGAAAAGATTGCACCAGATGAAGTTCAGCAACCAACACTCTCATTAAGTTATGATGGAAAAAGAGATAGGTATGTTTTACATTTATTTGATTGTATTCTCTCTGTTCAAAATAATTACAAGCATAATTTTGAAACACAGATGGGCTGGTTATGATCCATCAGAACACAGAGCAATCGTTGAAGAGTATCAGAAAATTGAAGAAGCCAAAAAACAACTTAAAGCAGAAAAACTTAATTCATCAGAAGCAGAAGAAGAACAAGATGAAGATGAAGATGATGAAGATAAATATGTTGATGATATTGACATGCCTGGTACAAAGGTGGACAGTAAACAACGTATTACTGTTAGAAATTTGAGAATAAGAGAAGACACTGCAAAGTATCTTAGAAATCTTGATCCTAATTCAGCATATTATGATCCCAAAACACGTTCGATGCGAGATAATCCTTATAAAGGAACAGATAAAGAGTAAGTTTAGCTTAGATAAAAAATTATTACTTATTATTTAAGTTAGAGATAAGTAAAAATTGAAAAGAAATTTACTGAATCAATGAGATTATTGACCTTTTTAAAAATGAAATTTTTTATTTTAGGGCTGATTATGCAGGTGAAAATTCTATAAGGTTCACTGGTGACACTAAAGAACATGCAAAAGCGCAATTATTTTCATGGGAAGCTCAAGAGAAAGGAATTAATGTCCATTTGTTGGCCGAACCGACTAGAATTGAGCTTATGAAACAAGATATTGAGAAGAATAAAGAGCAAATCAAAAGTGTGGTTCGTGATAGCATAATTGATAAATATGGAGGTGCCGAACATCTTGATGCTCCACCACGTGCGTTATTATTAGCACAAACTGAGGAGTATATAGAGTATTCCCGTACTGGACAGGTAATTTAAACGGTTAAAACCTGTAATCCTAAAAATATTTAAAATAATGCATAATAACAAAAATTTATTTCTCCTAGATAATAAAAGGACAAGAGAAAAAAATCATTAGATCAAGATATGAAGAAGATATTTACATCAATAACCATACAACAGTTTTTGGATCGTATTGGCGGAACGGTCAATGGGGTTATAAATGTTGTCATTCATTGATTAAAAACTCATATTGCTGTGGTGAAGCTGGTCAAAGAGCTATAAAGGAAGCAGAACAATTTTCCGGAAATGCTACTCAATCAGAATATAAAGAAGCAAAAATTGAAGAAGTCAAAAATACAAATAAAGAAAAAACTAAAGACTCATCCGATAATTCAAGTGAGTCTTCTGAAGAAGACACTCGCACTACAACTGAAAAAAAATCAAAGAAGGAAAAGAGGAAGAACAAGAAACGCAAGCATAAGGAGAAAAAGAAAAATAAAAAGAAAGAAGAAGATAAGTTGAAAGAAGCTTTGAGAAAAGAAGATGAGCATAATAAAAATATTGAAAAATTGCTTCAAATGGATGAGAGAAAAAGGCCTTATAATAGTATGTACAGTGCTAAAGAACCGACTGAAGAGGAAAAAGAAGCTTACCAAATGAAGAGGTTTAGGGAAGAAGATCCCATGGCACAATTTATGTAAAACTAAGGTTAAATAATTATTGTAAATATATTTATAGAAGAATAATCTTTATAAATGCAGACAATGCACCTGTATTAGATGTATTATAACAATGAATATGTTATAGCTTATGGGTATATTATATAAATCTATGTAATTGAATTCGATTGCTATATATTACCAAATGTTTATATTTTTATTCAAGGGGGTATCCTACTTTGGAAGGCCTAAAAAACCGTTTTTTTAAGGAATTTTTTTAAGATAGAAAAAAATAACCAACTCCAGCGAACTTTCAGGAATATTTTAGTATATAATTGAACATTATAAAAAAATTTTTTTAAAGAAAAATATCAAAATGCAGCCGATTATTAGACACATTTGTTGGGCAATCCGTAATCCGAGTCTTCTATTGGCGGGAGTGATAGAGCTCTTAATTTTGATCTGAAACAGAAAGTCAAAAAAATATTTCATTTTCATACATGTATTTTCTATTTGAACCAAGAAAAATCCGAAGAAATTGTGTAATTTAAAATTTTTTCCGAATTTGAAGCAAAAAGTGCTTTTTACAAGGAAAAAAAATCTCTTCAATGTGTTGAAAAAGTCTTGTAGAAATTTATTTCCAAAAATCTTTTTGGTTCATATAGAAGAGTAGATAAAACTGAAGCTAAAAAACTTCGGATCGTTACGATAACTTATTTATTTTTTTGCAAACACGCCCGCCAGTTTAGAAAAAGTGAAAAAACGAAAACTCAAGGAAAAGCACTTTGAAGTTTATGAACTGGAAAAATGTTAATTTTCGACTACTTACGGCAATAATTCGCTAATGAGCTATTCCTGCGCTATACAATAGACCTTCAGCTTCCTCATGGAACTCATTTTGTTCAAGTTGTTCAAGTCTACGGGCCGTACGAGCTTCCTTACTGGAAAGAAACGAACGTCGTCTTTCTCGTTCAATCCGTTGTATGTCGACATTATCCGCAAACATTTTACATTGCTGGCCAATTTTCAAATTGAGTAATTGCATAGTATGCAGAACTGCTGAATATCCTTCATTGAACATTCCTGCAGCCATATACGCAGCAATTTCTACGATTTTTTGACCAGAATTGAGATGGTTCGGAGTTATGCGCCAGACAGTGGAGTTGAACGATTCGTTCGAATTTTGCGTGTGTCCACCTAAGCATCGCGTCATGAGATCGTCATTCGAAAGTTCTTCGTAGATTGGACGAATATGTTCCTTCACTTTTTCGTCAATTAATCGAGCAGAATGTTTGAAGGATGCAAGACGATTCGTAGCTTCGGCTTTGCGCCATTCACACCAGCTGTCAGTGCCTGTCGGACAATTCTCGTGACAAGGAGATTCATCAGTTGAACAATAATGATCCAGCGTTGCCATCACAGCTTTTTTCATATCATGGACAGAATGAATATTCCTTCGAATTGCTAAACCATAATATATTGTCAACTTTTTGATGAGACTCTCCGTTAGACGCTTTTTTCCTCCAAGCTTCTCTTCCTTCCTTTTATTTCGGAGTCGAGTACCCATGCGCTTTTGTACGTGTTCCACGCACACATTTTTTGTCACAGGGTAATCATCACCATATGGATTCATTTTTACAATACCATTGAAAGTTTTCGAATCACCGTCGCCGATGTAATTCGTATACTTTACTCCAAAATTTTCAACAGATCTCAAGAACATCTCCACGATTGAATCTACCTCCATCTTCCCTACTAAACCATCGTGATTTGAAGAGCATGATTCTTTATGATCATTATACCATTCTTCAAATTCTTCTTCGTCTAATATATTCTTTTGTAAAGCACATGAATGACAATATGCACTTTTTACAATAAGGTCGACTACTTTGCCAGAGTAATATGCAATGAGCGTTGTAACACCAAACAATGAAGTAAAACCTCGTTTTTTCCAGGATCCATCGCCAGAAACTTTCAAACAGTCAGCAGATCTATCATGTTCTATATTTTTTTCTTTCTCTTCTTTGACAGCTTTTTCACAAACGCTTTTGAACATTGATTTTGACGCTGTATATAAATGCTGCACAATTTGATCATACGTTGATTTTGCTAAACCTTTACATATATCCATAAGTCCACAAAACACATTAATACCTTCTCGTTCAATACCGAAAAGCCTCATAACAAAAACAATTCGTCTATTTATTTCGAATCTAGTGTTTATAAACGGTCCTGAATTTATTTCTCTATGACCACACATACACGATAATACAATTTTAAAACCTAAGCCTCGATGTCCGCTCTCTGAAAATTGTATATTTTGTTTGCAATATCTGCAAATTACAATATCAGAAATTGCAAAAAATACTGTGACAAACTCGATTATTCGATAGCAGTGAGTTAGATGCACAATGATGTTCTCGGTGCTAGCGGTGGCTAATTTTCTCTCAGTACTGCTTGTGTTGCACTCTGTATCGTCCGATTCTGTTGTGAATTGATTACCATGGAATTTTCGTTTCCGTGGTTTTGCAGCACGATTACTACTTAATTTGTTACCTTTCGGATAACTAGACATGATTATATTGAAGCGCACTCGTCAATAGTCAGAGCAGAACTAAACGTTACGCCATAAACAGCTATATAGGAAACAGACACAAATTATATACCGATGACACATACTAAGGTTCAAAAGACGCTTCTATGAAAGCAAAATATTTCGAACAGCTGCTGAACCTTTTCAGGTTCAGCATTATTATATTCAGAAACTATATAGTTTCGAGCTTAGAGACGAGGGGAGGAGCGAGCGCGTTTCAGTCTGACCGAGCACTGGCACTTGCTCGATGCCCCGCTACGTTTAGTGCTGTATCTTCGGAAATACTGCGAATCCGACTCTATAACTTCGGATATATGTTCTTATACATATAAAGAATAGATTTAAGCAATAAAAAAATCGATTTTTTCAACATTCTAAAGCAGGATACCCCCTTAAGCTTCAAATCAATTTTTTCCGCTTAAAACACTGTTTTTCTTAACTTGAATAACCTAACGCTTTCTACATTATTAAGAAAGATATTCTTAGAATTCAAAAATTCATGAGCAAGTAGCTTTATTTTAACCATCTAGACTATAACCACATACAAATTTAAAAAAAGGCTACATGTATTTTGCAATTCCAGCTTAGTTGCCCTGGTTTTGTCGAGTTATATCTATAGACGCAAATTCTAACATTTTAAAAATGTAGATTTTTATATGGTTTTAGACGCAGTATTAACTGACTAAAAGATTGGTAAAATAACGTTGTCTAATTTTTTTTACGTACACAATAACCGATAAGAAATATATCACTTTTGTAAGTTTGAAAAATAATATTATATGTAATAATATGTAATAAACTGCAAATAACTCAATGAAACTTGCAAGTAGTGATTACTCGATCTCCATTTTTCCATGGATGCAAGCTAAACGATATGAATAATCGAGTGTTTCATATTCAATAAATCAAGATTTGGAAATAAATTCTTCCAGTAAAAAATTATAGGAAAAATTAAATAATTAAAAAGTTCAAAATAGTTTTTAATATTTAATTAAATTAGATAAAATATAAAAAATTATTTTGACGAAGGTAATAAGGTTGTAATGATTAGTTAATGTTTATGGCTATAAAATTATCGAAATCAAAACCTTTGCGTAAAATTTATACTATGCAATGAAATTATATTTATCTTTACAGAACATATACTATTTGTTGTTAATTAATATTGCTGAACATTGAATTTTCTATTATGAAATCTTTTATTCGATAAGGAACATTTTATAAATAATAGTCTGATTTTCATCACCTATTGTAACGATCATTTACGTCGTAATTATTATGTGCACCTTTGATTTCGAAAATATCCAAATTCCAAAGGAGTCACTTTTTTTATTCAACTGATTATTTCAATCTTCAATCATTTACAACGGTCAGCTAGAAAATGATATTTCCTATAATTGGAAACATGAAAACTATTTGGATTTTCAAACAATCTATATATAATTATATACATACTTGATTTGTAGTCCGCGTAACATCTAAATCTTCTTTACGTTTACGGTTGAAAAATCCTATTTCCTTTAAAAATAATGCTGAAAGCAGAATCAAAATTACTCCTAGTAATACTGATACAATAATAATCCATATCGCAACTTGTTCTGGTTTACGATGAATTAAGAGATTTGTAGCTAGTAATTTGTAATCAAATAAATCATTGAACAGTTTTACTGTTAAATTTGAAGTTTGAACAAAACCTTCGGTTACAAAATAAATAACATCTTTGCCTTTATACTCGTTCTCTGTAAAAAAAATAATATAGATAAAATAAATACATAGGTATATAGGCTAGCATAAAAATTATGAAAAATATTACTAGTAGCATTAGGCAGGCGAAAATCTATCGTCACAGTAAGCGTAGCTAGTGACTGATTTTTTAGTAATGGACCTAGTTGGCATTCAAATTTTTGACATTTCGTATGTTGATCTGTGCAATTAATAAAGAATATTTGTTGTTCTGAAGGAGTTGTGAAACTATTATGTTTGTTAATAGTATATTCAAAGTCGTATAATGACGAATTCAATTTTTTATTGAATAATCCGTCGCAGTTATGTTCTTTCCCGTCAACAGATGCTCGTATTTTTTGAATTTTCGTTATCTTTTCTTCATTCCAATAAATGGGCACATTAATAATCACAAGGATTTCTTGCAAGGGAGTAACACCAATTTTCCAAATTTTATAAATTTGATTGAAAGTTACAGTTTTGAAATTGTTATCGGCTATGTCTTGCTCTTCAAATGGATCTAAATCTTCATCCGATCTCCTACGCATACAAAATAATTAATCAAATAAAACAAATATATGTATTTTCGTATGAATCTACCCTTCAATTGTGATATTTGCATCAACGAAATAAGCGATATCCAATGTTGCCAGATTATTAGATGAATTTTTCTCTTCGCTTTGCGTTGTAACTAGTACTTTGATAGAGTTCGATTCATCGTAATAGTTGATAGCTCGCATATCTAATTCCATAATCACAGTATTCTATATATTATTTAATAAATAATTGGAATTATTTTATGTGATAAACAACAACAGGATAAATAATTTTGGATATCGATGCTTACATTAATTCTTAGCGGATTACCAAGACTACAAACAACCTCCAAGGTTTTATTAATTTCCTGTTTCTCATCGCACTCTGGGGGTATTCTGGCCATTGTAATTGGCGATGGAATATAAAGGTGCGCTTGACTTTCGTATGCAGGTTCTGCGGTATTTTCAACAAAAATACTAATGTTATAAGTAGAATTCGATCCAATTATAAAACTGTTGTCACTGTTCGAGGCACTGGAAATTGTAACTTGTAAATCAGAATGACAAACGTCATCCGACCCACAGTCGAGAATATATGCGAGTGTTAGATTGTCTGAGATTTTTGATAATCTTAGATTTATTACGGGGCAATATGAGCAGTTAGGAATTTCGTTTGATATTATATTGCCTATTATTTCAATTGGATCCAATACATTTTGAATGTTTTTCTAGAAATGAAGGAATAGTTAATTATAGAAACAAAAGTCATATTGTTGCATAAGCCATTGAAAAATGAATAAGAAATGTATTGCCTTTAGATTGATTTTGATAGGTGCACACTTTTCCTCTCCTTTTCTCAACGTATTTGAAACTTTATAAATGTTGCCAAATAATCTTCCATCCTGATACACAATAGCACGTTTGTGCACTTCGTCGATAGTCAACGTTTTCGTTACAACTACAATTATAATGAAATTGTAATAATTAGCAAATAGATGTAGCTTCAACGAAGAAGATTAAAAGTGCAACGTCTTACGGAAAGTGGCAGGTGCAAAAGGTCCATCGTAGAATGCGCAAAGATCGAGGATAAAGTAAGTGGAATTCTGCACGAGAGTGAAGTTTTGCCATTTGACCAGACTGAGATGGAGCGTAAGGACAGGCCGGCTGCGAATCAACAACGCGTGCCCAGAGCCATAAGCGCCGAAGGCTACGTCGGGGAAGCGGTTGCCGTCGACGTCTCTTGGCTCGGAAATGGACATGCCGAAGCCCCGCAGATTCATCGGCAAGTCAACAGCGTGGATACGCTGCGAGGGCTGAAGTGACAAGCCTTCGGGCGAGCCATTGAAAATATAAACAGCTCCTTGACCGTCGTCCTCGTAGGGTGCACCCACGGCCACGTCCGCGTAGCCGTCAAAGTCAAGGTCGTTCAGGCAGTTGACCGCTGTGCCGAAACGGCCGCTTTCCTGTGCACCTTCCATTGTCTGCACTTGGAACTCGATCTGCGTGTATGTACGAAAGATCCGTGACTCTTCCAGAGAACTGCTATTCGTAGGTGTACTCGCTCTTACTTGGCCTCTGGTCTTGTAGACGTATACTCGTCCTTCGTCGGATACTCTGGACCACAAAGGAGCGCCGATGATCAAATCGTCTCTGCTGTCGCCGTTGACGTCGCACGACGTCAAACTGGCACCAAAGTACTCCCCGTACTGCTCGCCTTCGAATACATTCCTGAACGTGTTCTCCCTGGTCCATCTCGGTACGCCGTGAATGAGTACTTTGCCCATTCCGTTACGAGGAGCACTCGAGGCATACAGACGCTCGCTCAGTTTGTAGAATCGACCAGAAGTTACGGAATAGCCTGAAAAGCTCTCGTACGTACGCGGTCGGACGGTAAAAGAGGATTCGCAAGCTGACGACTTTCGATTTACCTAGGTAGCTATTGAATTCCAAGTGCGAATCGTCAAGCACGTTCGTAACAATGCCAGCCGAAGGGCTGCGTTGAGCGCGCTCATCCAGGAATACCGTTGTTCCTGTCCACTGATAAAAACCCGGAGCACCGAGAATCAAATTGCCAAAGATACCAGGTGTGATATGCATTGAAAAGCCAACTTGACCCATAGCCTGATGATATACGGCTTTTCTCTCGTGTACGTCACTCGGCAGGACATATGTTTGCTTGCTGACGCCTGACATTGGCATGTGTTTGCGTGTAGCGGCTCGAGAAAAACTTGATACGTCGTTTGCAAGCATAGAATAACACATGCCGTTCGGGTACCAGTTATGGGATTCATCGTTAAACATGTTCGTCCAGCGAGGTGCGCAAACCTGTGAATCACTTGGCGAGTAAGTAATTTACCTGACGCGTAAGCGTCAATTGTATTTAAAATTTTATATTACGTAAAAATTGTGCGAACGATATCACAGTCACTGCAAAACGTTAAAGGGTTAGAAAACTCGAAAAATTAAAAGTGATTAATTACCACAACTTTAGGTTTGGTCGTGTTTTGAACACTGATTGTAGCGCCAAGCCACGCATAGTCCATTGAGTTCCGATTAGCCGTTAGAGTTTGCGGAGTCGGATTGACCGGCCATTCAATGCACGAGCCATTGGAAGCCAGACGACATGAATACACAGCGCCAGGTTCAATGAAACCACCTCTCATTGCTGAGGAATTCGCCCGTGGAGCTCCCACGAGTAATACCGAGTCCGAGCCCGACGAGTAAAGAGCCACCGAAAAACCAAAATAACTTGGACGACCATTTTTGCTAATTTGTGGATCCTCAAATACTTGGATGTTTTGCACATCTAAATTATAACTTTGGACGTCAACCACCAGCAGCGACAAGACATATAATAAAAGTGTCATTTGGTTGGTAATGCAATTTTGATACTGTGCTCAACGATGTATATCCGTTTGATTCGATCCCTATCCTAAAGATATATTATATTCTGTTGATGTTTTGACACTATTTTGCATGACGGAGTTCATTTAAAATGAGTTATAATAAAATTTAATGCGTTATGCAAATCGAATAATCAATGCATTATTTACGTTTCGTTTTGAAAGTGCAATTCTCATACCTCGATATCTTTAGGTCTGTATATTAATTGGAAGCCTTATAATTGTTCACTGTATTTCACTATTTTTCAAATAAGCAAAATATAATACATTTGACAACAATCAAGTAGTAGTATTGAAATAGGTGGATATAAAAAATCGTTAAAAAAAAACAATTTTTGATAAACGTGTTATAAATACACTATATATATCTGACAGACCACAAGTTTTACGTTATCACTTCCGTTTGGCAATATCTTCTACATTCTGAGTAAGCTATGTTGATAAATGTATATATGTAAAAGTCCTACGATTAAGTACATATTGTATATTTGAAAATAAATTTTATAAAGTTTTCAACTGATTTTCCAGTAATTATTTTATTTAGAATGTCTAATTAAAAATGCACTTTAAATAACACCTAAACCTTTTTACTGTTATTCCATAATATTACTAGCTTTGTTAGTCGACATAAATCTTCATATAATAGTGAATCATTTACATAGCATCTGACTAAATAATAGAGACTCTCCGTAAGCAAGTCTTCATCATTATACTTTTGTTATAAAAAAAAATATATTTCCGCGGTTGCAGGAAATGATTGTACAAACTCACACTCATTTTCACGGCTTTTAATTAACTCACGTCTTACAAGAACGTACAGCTAAAATAAATCGGCCGAAAGTGATACATTCAGACTAGCTAATGAGCGTTTACTGATTCGCTCGAGTTGTAGGATGCATCTCTGATGACCTCACTCTTTATACTTTAATGTTTGGATAGATACAGAATTCATTGGCTATGTAGATTTTGTAAGTATTAAAAAAATCTTCCAGAGAAAGTTTCAATTAATTATCGGTAGAGCCAAACATTTTAATTTATATATTATAACTTGGTAAAGTATCACGATATATTGTTCGATAAATATATAAATATTATTTAATACAATATAAAACGTTAACACGTCGGATGCATATTGACAATTTTCATTGAATTAAAAAGTTTTTAAAAGTAATTGTTTTTAATTAAAAACTTTCAATTTGAAAGCATATGCATCTAAAAATTATTTCAAATCTGAATCACTTACAAATAGTAATTTTTTTTTTGTTTCATTACGTGTCGACGTTTCCTTTCTTAGTAACACTTTAATGCGATGTTATAATATTGAATAAATAACTTTTTCAAGTGTAATAATAATGATTGTTACTGAAAAAAGTCGTTTTGAGTCCATACAAATACAGACCTGAAAACCAGTTTCTATTGAAACAATTAGTATTAATAAATATAATCGATCAGCTATCTAGTGTTAGTTTTAGCACTATAATCAGAATAGTATATGAAATAGCAACAATTTTAGTTATTTTTAAAACTGACTATATTTAATAATAAACCATAAGACTTACATAAAAAATGATACAGAAATATTTTGTGTTACCATTGTCTTTTTTAACCTAAATAATAATTATATCTTATGTTAACTAAAATCAACGGTAAAAGGGTAAAAGTGAAGTAAAATTGGGAAAACTCACTCTAAGATGTAGCATCGTTACTTAAAATTAATAACTCATTCATGAATATTTATAATAATTCATTGTATAAAGTAAAGCAAGATTACTGCTTACTTGTACTTTACTTTCACGTAAAACTTATACTAAATTATCAACAGTACACGCACTTTAAGGTCCATGTACATGTGCATTATTCATGTACAAATAGTATTTATATATCTACACTTTTTTATTTTGAAAGTTACTGCTCCTCTTTTTTAGCATGATTCATATTTGAAAATCTCAATTAAATTTTTTATTTCAACAATATAGTCACCAAATTCGAAAAGGAAAAAAAAATGTTAACGCTTATATGACAATTCCGATTGTCCATTTTTTAACGTGAACTTGAAGAAAGATTTATAATTGTAACGTATATTACCAATTTTTTCTTGCATTAAGAGAATATCAGTGAATAATTTTAAATGAATTTATTGAATTAATTTCAAAATGTTTTCTGCTATATCCAATGTTAATCACCATCAATCAAAAAGTCGTTATCATCTTTATCATCCGAATAAGTAGTAATAAGCAATCAAAGTAACTGACTAATATTTTTGACAATTGAATAGAATTTAGTTTTCATTTTCATTCGACAATTGTTAATTGCTCGTGAATTCCTAAATAAATATCGGACAAATAATAAAGAAAAAATCGCCAAGAATACGCGATACTCACAGAAATAATATTCCACGTTATTATATAAAAATATATGTAGCTTGAGGAATCACAGATTCATTATATACACGCACATTCGTTTCGCACTATTCGATTGCTCTGCAAGTTTAATCATCAGATGAATCGCTGCTGCTCGAGGGCGAAGGTAACATCGTTCGTTTCCTATAACCGCGCCTCGCGACGTCCACCTTCTTCTTGAACCACTCGCAATTCTTAGTTGTTCTCTCGCGGTCTGGACTTGCAGTTCGTCCTCTTGAATTGGACTTTTCCGCTGTGGACACATTACTTTTGTCTGCAGACATACCCGAGGCAATACCACTGTCCGAGTTCATAGGGCATCTAGTGTTCTTTGAAGGTGTCACCAATGAATCTTCAGAAGTGCCGTTGTGAATAGACTCTTTGCTAGAGTTGCGATTATTATTGTGATTGCTGCTCTCCTCTGCGTTTACCTTTTGACGTTTACTCTTGACGCGCAGCTCGCGTCGAGAGTGGACCACCATCGACGAAGTCTTTGTTTTGCGGGTGATCTTCCTCTTCTGCACTTCTTTGGAGGAGCTGTCGGAGTCTGTTTTAACGGAACGGCGTTTATTTACGTCGCCATTTATTGTAGTTTTGGTATGCGTATCCTCAGAGCTGTTACTGCTGTTGCTGCTAGAGCGCGAACGTCTTTGTCGCACTTCCACGACTAGAGGTGTTGATGCATAGCGAGAACGACGAGATGATATGACACCAGTACTGGTGCTAGGCTGTGCATCGACTACGTGCTATAATAACAAAAATTATACAGTCAATGATATTAGTTGCAAAATCACGTTTACAGCCTTTCTTTTAAATATAATGTATCCAAACAATTTTAACAAATGTGTCATTAAAACAGAAGCAGCATTACCCTTGTTACTAATGTCAAATGTTCGCAAACACATGATAAATAACAGTTAATTCAATAAAACCTGGCAGTATGCCACTGAACGTACTAAGTTAGAATTGTAAATGTGTATAGGAATGCTATACACTCTCTATATTGTAAACTTTTTAAAAATATTATATAATTATTTTTGATTAATAATGATTTGTTCTAAATCTTACATTTTGTGATGGCTGTTCTTCAGGTTCAGAATCACTGTCATCCTTGGCGTTATTCTGTTTTCTTCTGGCTCTGTTTCTCTTCGACAGACAACTATGTTTCCTTTTGGTTCCCTTAGATCTAAGAGCAGTTTTACTCGACCTGCATCTGCCACTGCGCAACGTGTAATTGTTTTCAGGTTCACTAACCGAACCGGCCTCTGGAGCATTTGAGTTGGTCGCAGCAGAGGTATTTAATGTCGTACAATTATTCTTGGGATGCGTGCCATTTCCAAGAGTCGCGAGACGCACGAGTTTTTCACGGCGATTTGCAATAAGGCGAGTTATACGATTTGGTGATTCAAGTGGACGTTCAGGCACGTTGGTTGTTGTGTGCGAGTTGACAGACCCAAGAAAACAACGCATTATCTGATGATCTGATGCTGTAGAATCTGAAAAAGCAAATGTAGACTTTAGCTTGGACAAATAAAAACTTCTCAAAATTAAAAAAAAACTTTACCATCTGAATCTGACGGTTCTGAGCGGTCGGATGCGTTGTAATTTTCAGGTTCACTTGGACTTTGTGGAGTTGCCACTTCTTCTGAACTCCAATTTTGAATTTCTCTTTGAACTAAAGAATCAAAAAATGCCATCATTCTCTGATCTTCATCAGTAGATTGATGACTATAATCGTGAGTCATAAACTGATTGCTCTGTAAAACTAGACCAATGTATTCATCATGGGTATATACTCGGCGTTGCTTTTCTTCTCTGTCGTCCTCTCGCTAAAAATATTGTATTGATGCGTAAATATTCAAATAATTAAGAAAATATTAAAAAATACTATTGGCTTAAAAATATTTACCTTTAAACCTCCTTGACAGTTTTGACTGATTTGAAAAGGAGACCACAGTTTGATAATTTTTTCTACTCCTGAAGATGCCAGAATACAACTGGCTGAATTGTAACGTACTTGGTTGACGATAGATCTGTGACCACGGAGAACCATATGTGCAGAATCAACCCAATTCACACTTTTGTCAGTAGGTATTTTCCACATATATAGATTAAAGTCATCAGAGCCTATAAAAACAGATTAATAATTTAATTGAAAATTGAATTTATTATTTTATAATATAAGAAATTTCAGATCAATCAATTTCATACCGGATAATATATATTCACTATTGGTTCCAGCAAAACAACATGATTTCATAGTACAACTATTATAGTACCCAGGGTGGTCAAATTGACATAAATGATTTGGCTTATTTACAGTATACAGTACAGGTGGTAATCGTCTACGCAATGCTAATAATGTAGCCCCATCGTCACTGAATTTAACATTCATACAGCTTTGTGCTGGTCCATATTTTATAATAGGTCTGTTTAGGTAACATTAATTTTATAATACACTTTAAATGAACATTTGTAAACAATTTTGTAGAACATATCGTAGAACAGATAGATTCAAAAACTTACTTAAGTGGTTTTCTAACATCCCACATGCTAACTCCTTCTTTTGCATTTGCTGTTGCCAACATTTTTGGGTCAGCAGGATTAAACTGCACTGCATGAAATGGACTCTTATGTTGTGCAATACACAAAAATGATTCTGCAGAACTAGCAGTTCCTCTAATATCATAGATAAGAACACGCCCATCATCACAGGCACTTGAAAAGACATTTTCGTTATGTGGATGAGGCGATAAACCATATACAGGTTTTTCATGTCGAAAAAAATTAAGGACATCAGTACTGTAAAAAATAATAATATAATTTAATATGTCTATAACATCACTTACTTAATATTCTTAACTTTAAGTTCTATCTTATTAATGTCTTGTAAATAATGCAAGAGATATCAATTTATTAATTATTGAACTTATTTAAAACAAAAAATTAATGAATAAATTAATGAATGTGAAATATCATTTATTTAAATAAGCTTTCTTTTTAAATATTCTTCACAAAAAGTCATAAATTATCATTTCAGAAGAAATAAAAACTTTTTACTTACGTTACTAGGTCATGTACAATAACTTGGTCATCATTTCCAGCAGAAAATATTTTAGAATTGCAGCAATTGTAACCCAAACAAAAAATGTTACTCATATGTTGGGCTTTCATAACAACTGGTTTACCATGATTCCGAATAGCTTTTGCTGTTTTCCACAAAAGTACTCTTTTATCATCTCCACCTATTTCCAACATAAGATTATTATTTTAAGAATGGATACAATATTTGAATATCTTATATTGGCATTTTGATATGCTAAAAATGATTATAGACTTAATTTGGATAACTCCTATGTCTATTATATTAATATTAATTAGATAAAAAAATTAAGTGGTTAAGTTCAAATTAATACTTAACTGAAGAGTTTATTTTTCAGTTATGTATATTTTAAAATTAAAAACATGTTGTGTCAAATTGCTTTTATTAAGCTGTCAGATCAAGAAAATTTGTAAAAAAATAGGAATCACAAAACAGATTATTACATAAACTTTCTTTTAAACGTATTTGTACATTTTATGATCATGAAACACGACAAACATGAAAATACATGTAAGCTCTTAAATAACATGACCTAGATGATAAACCTGAATATATTTAAATGTCAATAGAGAATGATATCAGTTCAGTCCCTTTAATTAAAATCAATACTCTGGAAGCTCATGAATTGATTCCTACCCAGCTTTTCTCAAATAATATGATAGATATATTAATAAAAGCAACATTTATCTAATTAAAAGATATATCAAATTATTTGTTATTTTTGCACACAAGAACAAATCAAGTAAGATTAGCCAGTGTCTTATTATATACTATCACTGACAAAACAAGATGGGAGCATGTAGTAATAATATTAATATTCAAGTTAAATACAAGAATGTATAATGCAAAAAATAAATTGTAATGAATGATTATTTTTTTAGTTTTTATTTATTCAATTTTTTTTGAGAATTAATCTGAATAAAAATTATGGCTAAAGGCTTGTACATTAAATAAAAACATTGTCTAACCTGAAACCAGCAGATCACCCTCCTTGGAAAATTCAATAGCATTGATGCATCCATAGTGGGCATACAGGTCCTTTCGGAAGAGGTTCTGAGCATTAAAAAACCTAGCATCAATGAGTTTATGACAATAGTTGACTTTGCTGTCGGTTTGCCTATTAATAATGTAGTTGATTGGATTGCAGGGATTGGTCTGGAGCTTGACACTGGAACTGGCCATCTCGAGCTGCTGGTCATGGTCGTTGTGTTTATTGGTATTCATGTTGAGTTTGCGCTTCTTCCTTCCGCAGCGACGGCAACAGGATCGGCCGCGACCTACTGTCACAAGCGGACTCGTCGTCGTTGTCGTTATCGCCTTCCTCCTGCGACTACTCCTATCTCCCATTTATTGCCAAAAACAGCTCTAACTGTTGTCTCGCCTGGAGAACTGCCACGACTGATAGAGCTGGGATCTGTGTATTTAGTTTGTCGTTCTTTCCAGAAAAACAGCTTTCTCTTCTTCAACCCCCCGTCGCTCTCGAGATCTTTGTGCTAATTGCTGACCCTTGTATTATCTTGCCTTTAGACCCATTTCGCCATCGTTCAAACTCAAACCTGTACTAACCACTCGCTCTCCTCTTTGTCTCTGTCTGCTGTGTATGTGTCTCACTGACTCTTTTTCTCTCTATTACTCTCTCTCTCTCTCTCTCTCTCTCTCTCACTCACTCATTCACTCACTCACTCACTCACTCTCTCTTTTTCTCTCTCCCTCTCTCTCTGTCTAACTTAGTTTCGTATAAAACTGCTTGCTGCTGCTCGTGCTGCTAGGTACTGCGACACTTTTGCTCTCTCTCTTTCTCTCTCCCGTCTTTGTTTATTTTTATGATCCCTTGTCTCCCACCGCGCCCCGCATATTACAAGAAATTTGTGGATTATAAACTCAAGGAATTGGAATGCTGAGCACGGAACTACAATCGCCACTACCGCGCTGCACACTTAAATTCAATTATTTTCTAATCTCACCAATACAAATTGTTACTCCTCTCACTGAAATGTTTCATAAATTTTCCATATTTAGAAAACAAGGAGAAATTTTTTCTCATCACCCGATAGAATTCGTAAACTTTCACACACACCACCGCCGCGAATCCGTTATAGGATAGATATTGAGACAGATATGTTTAGTTTATGCAATTGCCACAGGTCAAACTGCTCGTAACTCGTTTTGAACAATATTTTAAGCGGAGTAGCTTGGTTGTTTGTCAAGGATCGAGCGCTTCTCTTCAATACACTTCCTCCACGTAGGTTGCATACATGCTCGATTATTTTTCACGCTCGGTTGTTTGGGGTAAGCCAGTTGCACGATCAGATTAATGTGACCGATTGTCCCAGTAGAGAGAGAGAGAGAGAGAGAGAGAGAAAGAAGGAGAGAAAGAGAGAAGGAGAGACTCAATGCGATGACGATGTAAGAAACAAATAAAACCGGCTTGCTTGCGCTGTCGATGATGATAAAGTGGGGGAAAAACCTCGTCACCAAACTCTCACAGCAGTTACCTCTTTAAATCGCCTCTTTCGTGTGCGATGTCCCTTTAAACATGTGCGGACGCATATCAACACTACGAGTGGCACATGTGCCGTACGGGGCGACTTCACTGCGTCGACTCCGACTCGCGCTATTTCTATCTAGCGCGTTTAAAAGCATTAACTACAGATAACGCCGCGAGTCCGTTTTTTTTCTGATGTTATAGCTATGACGTGTGCTCTATGTCAATGGCCTATTTGGTTAACCGAATGGTTCACCGAATTTCTATACATATTTTACTTTTCTCATTATAGTTCCTCTCTGGGTATTAATCTTTTTTTAATTTAGACTGGTTTATGACGAATACGACCACCTGCATCTGTTTTCTACCAATTTATTTTAATACAATGTAAAAAGCTGATTTTATAGTAGAACTAATATTTGTAAATATAAATTACTTGTTGAAAAATAAAATAAAATAAGATTGAAAAAAATATTCTTTTCGTCTGACTAATATAACACTTCTACTATGAATCAACTTCGTTTTCAGCTAAGAAAAGATTCTAAAAATAAGAAAAGTAAGGCACGTGTATAGATTTCATAATTTTTAATATTATGATTTTCATTGTCAAACAATTTATTAATCGCCTTTACGTAATTAAAAATCTATCTATGAATGCAAATATTATTTTAAAAACATATTTCGTTACAAATAAGTAAAATAGTGAAATAAATATTCTTCTAAGAAGTCAATAAATATTTTTGTTCACATTTATTTGAACAGCAAATAAATCAGAATTGTAAATAAAGTTAGCTAATTTCTATTTATTATTTCACAATAAAGTCAATTTATTGACTAAAATAATGTTTATTCTCGAGTACAAAATATAAATATCATAATCAAACTTTTTATGTGAACACCACTAAATTTAACTACATATCATATAAATATGAAATACATTGCCTATTCCTAGTTACTAATAATATAATTTAGAGAGTGGTCACTTGTATTGCCTAAAACATTTTGTTCTAGAAATCATTTGAATACATTTTCGAAATAAAGTTCCAGATATTTAAAGTTTTCTGTTTACTAACAATTTATTAAGCAATGAAATCACCGCAGCATTCCAAAAAAGTTCAAAACCAACTTTTGAAAAAATTGAAGCGAAGACAGAATTGTTACAAAAATCGATATCATTACATTCTTATAAGTGGTTCAAGTTATACTAACAAATCGAAGTTAATTTTTATTCAAAATAGGAACGAATTATGGTTGAAAAGAATGCACATTTCATTTTAATTTCACAAAATTCTGTCAAAAGCACTTTAACCCCACTGTCTGAACCAAATCAAATATAGATAAATTTGATATATATATATATATATATATATATATACGCAAAAATATATAATGTACATACATATATACTTAAATACAGTACTGGATACTATATACCTCTTTTGATAATTATTAGAACTGATAAGTTTTCAGCACGACAATAATTAGTAAAAAATTACGTACATTGAGTATTAAAATACATACGCAGATTCTGCATTGCAAAGCCATCAAACTAAATTTCGTTCAATACAAAACCTATTAAATTATAGTCAACTTGATCGTATAAAATTATCATTATACAGTGTCAGTTATTGCATATAGATTTCATAATAATTGCAATACTATAGTATTTTAAGACATGCAACAAGTCATAACAGTTTTAAAATGGCTCTGTTTTGTAATGACAGATAGATTGAAAATGAATAATTGGTACGCCATCCTTATATGAAAAATTCAAGGTTTCCATAGCTTTACTAAACCGTCTTCACTGTAAGAACACAGTAAGTTTTGATGGGGATGATGTGCTAATCCAATAACATCTTTTTCGTGAATCTAAAAATAATACAAATTAGTAAGTTTGTTGGATAAATATAATTAAATATTAAGTTTACATACGTTTAAAGTTCTCTCGAGTTTTCCAGATGTAGTAGAGAAACAATACAGTACAAAATCTTCACCAACACAATAAATATACTCTCCTTTGGGTGAAACAACTGCACAAACAAAGTCACCCCCTTCACGCTTACCGCTTGAAAATGATCTCACTATTTGTCCTTGCATATTCATAATTACAACTGTGTTTGAACGATTACAAACTACAAAATGTTCCGGGTTTTTTGGTAACGAATGTACACTATTTACAGTTAAATCGGCAGCTCCTAATGACTTATAGGTTCCAATACATTCAGTTGTCTTCAAACTCCAAACTTTAACAGTTCCATCTGAAGAGCCACTACCAAAAAATATTTAAAAAAATTAAGTATTGTAGTTTCATATTTAACAATCTAATAAAAAAATACATAATTCTATTAAAAATACCTAATAATATTGTGTGCATCCGAAGAGAATATAACTTCATTAACATATGAAGTATGTCCTCTAAACTCTTTCAATGTTTTGCCTGATTTTAGCCCATGAATCCTGATTGTTGCATCAAATGAGGCTGAAAGAATTTGACTGTTATCTCTACTAAACTGTAAGCATGTAACACCTTTGGTGTGAGCTTTTTCAAATTTTCTTAATGTTTGACCACTCTGAACTTTCCAAATTTTTATTTTGCCATCTTGAGCTCCACCAGCTAACATTTCACTATCTCTACTGAAGGCTAAAGCTAACATTGCTGCTTCCATCATCATAAAATTATCTTGTGCTTGATATTTCAAATCTTTTCTGATTTTACCAGTAGTGAAGTTCCATACTTCTATCATACCATCAACTGATCCCGTAACTAAATACTGGCCATCGGGAGAAAATCGTGCGCACTCAACATGAGATTTTGTACCAAATTTTATTTGTTTAGATAGTTGTGTAGGATACTTTTCATCTTCTTGATCTCTTACTGCAGCTTTACCACGGAATAAATCAATAGTTGTGCCAGGAGGTAAAAGTCCTTGGTGCTGTTGCCATTTCAATGCTTGTCCTAAAAGGGCTAACAATCTACTTGATGGAACAACTGATACTTCTCCTGCTAAAGATGTAGCAATATAAGCTCTTCTTTTTTCTTTAGTACTACCATCTGGATAAGCTTCTCGAGGATCAAAGTATGACCTTGCAAGCAAATTTTCTAAAAGAATGTAAAATAATAGATTAAAATAACTTTATATTGAGATAAAAATAATGAATGACAATTTAAATTGTTAAAAATAAATTCATTTACCTAAATGGATATATCTCTCTGGTTCTTGTTGTTTCATCATTACCATAGGTTCAGTTTGTCTCAGTAAACTTCTAGCTGCTCCAAGTTCTCTCAATTCAATTAACTCCATGACTACCTAAATAACATAAGATCCCATGACAATCTTCCATTACTTTATTTTCACAAATCTCAATAGATTAGATTATAAAAATATTTTCTTTCTTACTTGCTCGTACAGATCAATAAGTTTTTTATCTGGAAGCTTCAAAGACTGTATAGCTTTAAGTACTGTGTCCCAATGACCATTGTTTATATCAGCTACAAAGCCATCTACACTGTCCACTGTATTCAACGAAACACCAGTTTCCTCCTAAAGTAATACTTTTGTTTAGATATTATTTTGAATATCTTGAGTTATATATTTACAACATTACCTGTAAAGTTTGCAATGTTTTTACAAGATTTGATTCTTTTAGGTATTGTTGAATAAGCCGTATAACACTGTGAAAGATATAATTTATTCAGATGTAATTAATAGCTTATCAATCAATAAATAGATTCAAAGATTGTTAAAATAAACAATTGTGTAAACTTACTCGGCTGATTCAATTTCTATAGACATTATTTAAAAGTTTACTCTTTGTGATTATTATAAATAAATAATTAGATGAAATAAAATTCGACTCCTTAAAACAGTTGTTGATTAACATACACAATTTATTTCATTAATTTTTAGGTTATATTGCTTGTATTTGTACCGTTGTACCGGCCGGTCGTCATTCGTCCAATCACGGATTCACGACCAATCAAACCAAATACATAACGGTGTCATTCGATGAAAGCGACTCCGAAAATGTAGTGTTGCCAACAATTTACGTTGCCGGCTCCGCTCTATGCGGCATGCCAATCTCCGAAGAGTGTAAAGTTCAAAATCTAAATTATTTTTGGGGATTGAGCATCAATTGAATCAAATGGATTGTTTTTGGCAAGTTACGAAGGTACAATTTGCCAAAATAAGTCCTTGACCTGATTTTATTTGGTTAATCGTCAAAAGTAATTCGAATTTTGAACTTCGCGGGTTGCGTATTAATATTCGGACAAAGTTAACGTAACTTCCTGACCCCGGGGCTGTCCGCTGTCCCGTCTGAGATTTTATATGCACACGCGCCATCTCTATAACTTCAAACTCAGTGGTAAGTTTCATAATGAGTGCGAGATACGCACCTTAATCTATGAACTTAAAATTATAGAGATGGCGTACTCATACAAAAACTCGATCGGGGACGGCTCTGGGGTTGGAAAGGAAAAGGGTTAAGGGATTCCGCATCCTGTGATGGTTGTGTCTACAATATATCGAACGAGCGAATATACCGATACACATATAGGTAACAGAGTAACAGTATGTCGTTCAAAATATCATTCGTAACGTAAACTTTGTCTGAATATTAATTCGCAGCCCGCGAAGTTCAAAATCGGAATTATTTTTGACGGATAATCGTCAGTGATACAAAATGAGGTAAGGTTAAGGGCTTATTTGGACGAATTGTAACTCCGTAATTTGCCAAAAATAATTCATTTAATGTCATGCAGGCTCAATCCCCGAAAATAATTTGAATTTTGAACTTCTCAGATCGCATAGTTCGGGCTCAGTGTCACATTATCACTGGAAAATTTTTTTTCAGGGTCCCTAAAAATTATCCCCCAAATGACGTCGATTCATGCCGAATTACTAGTTCAATAATTTTCTTTTTAATCAATGTCGTTTGCTCAGTATACATATATATGTGTGAATTTTAATGTATTAGGTCACTATAACTCGGACTGAACCGCAGAAAATAGTGAAAATTTTTTAGGGGTTGGGGACCTTCGAAGAGATTTTTCAATCGAAAACCCAGCCCTGGCGGTAATGCTGGTTCGGGCAGCGTGAATTATTGGCAGCACTACATTTTAGGGATCATTTTTATCGAACGACATACCATTATGTGTGAGGTCGTAGTGGTTTTTGTTAGATATTGTAGACGCAGCCAATCACGACTAATCGTATCTCGAGTCGCACAGAAAATCACGGCGATATTAGTCACCTTAGGGAGTGTCCACATGGGATCTCTCTTCCTTCCTGGCCCGGAGTTATTCCCGTTCGAGATTTTATATGTACACGCCATCTCTATAATCTTCGAGCTCAGTGGTAAGTTTCATAATGAATGCGATATACGTTATTTGGCTATTCGTATTTTAACAGACATATTATTGTCGAGAATTGTTTCGATACATATCGAATGGTCGTTCCCAATTGTCGTGGACAGTGGTAACGTGGAACGAGAGATTGAGAAAAAAGTTGCACGAGAGCGAGCTAGCCGTTCACACTCGTAAGGTAGAAGAACGTGGTTGGTAAGGCAGAAGCGTTTCGACCCGGTGTTACCGGCTGAACTCGTCAGTGAGGCTCGGCGGCCGATAATACCTGCCTCCTCGGAATGGTCCGGCCGCTATGCGGATTGCGGGCTTTATATATTAATTCAAAGAGCGAGTTTTCTGCCGCTTGGAAATGGCCGACACTATCTAGTAAGAATGCAGGTGGACCACGAGATTGCCACATACCCCACATACGCATCTTAATCTATGAACTCGAAATTATAGAGATGGCGTGGACATACAAAAACTCGGACGGCGACGTCCTCGGACTCCTCGGGATCGGGAAGAAAGAAGGATCCCATGTGGACACTCCATTACCTCAGCCAGCAGACTATCAAAATTAAAAAAAATACCAGTCGAATTATCTATAACTGCATCCTTTAAATATGCTAATAACTTAAACAGCATCCTTCTAATTCATAAAAAAAAGAATTAATCAATAATGCTTGTTTTATGGAATCTTTCAACAGCGATATCTCGATAAATAATCAATATTTTTATGCACTATCTAATTTTTCATGCCACCAACCGTAAAAATAGCATAACTTGTACACTGATAATGACAATTCTTTTTTGTCATTTGGCTTCAAGAGAGGTGAAAAATTAGTTACTGCATAAAAATATTGGTTATTTATCGAGATATTCATTAATTTTTTAATTTTCCCGCCAACATTTCATAATTCGCGCGTATACGTCCTGAGCATTAGGCCCCGGTCACATAGGTACACCCAACGTGAATTGAATCGCGACCCCCCCAGTTAAGTTGGTATGAGAATTCCGTCGTTGCATCGGAACGAAAAAACCGCGGGAATATTCAAAAATGAAAATTCGTTTTAAGATACGATAAAAAGCTAAAACGTTACTAATTTGTTTTTAGGTTTAAAATTAATTGTTTGCAAACAATGAATTTAGATGCATGATTATTTGATTTTAGGTTTTAATTATATAATTTAAGAAAGAGCGTTATACTATGGCCGATCTGAAAACCACCGTTACGGACTGAAAGTAGCACTCTACCAACCTAACTAGGGGGGTCGCGATTCAATTCACGTTGGGTGTACACAAATAATCATGCATCTAAATTCATTGTTCGCAAACAATTAATTTTAAACCTAAAAACAAATTAGTAACATTTTAGCTTTTTATCGTATCTTAAAACGAATTTTCATTTTTGAATATTCCCGCGGTTTTTTCGTTCCGATGCAACGACGGAATTCTCATACCAACCTAACTGGGGGGGGTCGCGATTCAATTCACGTTGGATAACATCCTATATACCATTCATGCATTTTTCCTCATGAAAATACCGCCCTAATTGAAACATTGCCATTGAAACAGAGATAAATTGTCATCTCTACTCTCTACAATGAAATCGTTGTTCGTTCGTAATTGCCTATTGCCGTCTCGCCTTCTCATGTGCTGTACCTAAGTGTATTGTTAAAAACTAAAATTATTTCAAATTTTGTATCATATTCATTGATTTAGTTGTGTTAATTATAAAAAAATATAATTCATACGAATGAAGAAGTATGTTTGTGACAAATATAAATTCATGGCTGAACAAAATATTTTGGAAAAGATGGAAATATCTACTATCAATTGCTGCAATTATATTTGTTTTCTTACAAATCGGTAACATGAGCATTTTAGGATTTGTTAACGAATCTCCTAATTCTAATACTAGACTTAGCAAGCATTTGCAGCATGTATCTATTAAAAAGGTAAAATATTTTTTAAATATTGATAAAATAATTTTTATGATATTTGTACAAATATATTATTGTAGTGACTGAAAATTTAATACAAATTTATGAAAATTGAATTAAATTATATCATAACTGAACAGGTTCTATCAAAATGGACTGAACCTCAACATTCCAAAATTATCAAAGATCCTGAAGGCCATGCAATATCTCTACGAGGAACTCACGATAAAGATATTATTAAATATTCTCCTAATTCTGAAGGAAAATTCACTTGTTTTAGTACCAAGGAAGAAATTGATTTTATTAGAGTCAATGATGACTACTGCGATTGTGTATTAGATGGTAGTGATGAACCAGGAACTAATGCTTGCAATAATGGAATATTCTATTGTGAAAAAACAATACATAAGTTTCCAGGTTTGTTTTTTATTGAAAATAAATAGTTTTTCCAATTAAAATTGTAAATCTCTATTTTGCTATATTATTTCAGCAAGTATTTCATCTTATAAAGTTAATGATGGTATATGCGATTGCTGTGATGGAAGTGATGAATGGCAAGAAATATCTGTATTAGATTCAAGTGATGGTAAGATTAAATATGTTTATATTAAAATTAAAGAAATTTTATATGTATAGGAGGTTTTTCCATTTTCCAGTTTCAGAAAATCATCCACTACAATATCGCCTTACACAATGTCAGAACCACTGTAAAAATGTAATTTAGGATTATATAAAATTTATATTACATTTTTATATATCCACATGACAAGTCAGAGGATAAACCTCAATGGATAAGACTGAAAATACAACATTAGATTATATTTCAGAAATACAAGATTATATTTCAAAATATTTCTTTATAAGAACAATAGGTATAAAGAAAGTATGTTGGAATTTTTTAATTGAAAGAAGATATGTAATACGTATTCAATACGTTAAAAAGGCTTTGTTTTCCAATGCTTGGTACTGTTTCTCTATTTTAAAATTATAATATATTATAATGATAGTTATTTGTATTCTAATTTATTCTTTCGTGAATTCAAAACAAATATTTTTAAATATTTTTAAATTATTTATTGTAAACAGCATCATTAATTTCTTTACTTGTTCACGTCTGTACTCTCATATATCGATTGCATTTTATAATCACTTGCTTCTAATTAAAAAAGTTAATGTGAATCATAAAAAATATTTCATCATTGATGAAGAATATTCAAAAAATGTTTAGACTATTTCTGTACATTAAAAATTCATCGATTAGCATTAAATAATCTAGCAAATTTTAAAAAGTAGAAAAATACGCTCATGTCGTCAACTGTTGAAAAAATAAAAAATGCTGTATACATAAAAAACATAGTAATAAATAAATTATGAATATAGATCTACTATATTTTTAAATAAAATGGTAAGATTATGAGTGTTTAAAAAAACGTACATAAGTATTTTATCGGACATATAAAAATTGAATCTTTTGGACTATACATTTTTCAAATATCTGTGATTCTTAAATACACATTCCTTAAAAAAATAAATAAATAGTATTCTAATGTACATGATAATAAATTTGTTTTACATGTTTGTAACATCCACGACGTTGAAAGTAAAATGTAAAGAATTCAATATTTCAATATTATCAAAGATTCTTTTTCCATTACAAATTTAACAGTAATAACATTTACTTACTGTCTTAATATGTAAGACAGATTGTAAATAAAATTTTGCCTAAAAAAAATTAACAGTGTCAATGAATAAAACCGTTCAAAACTTTTTAAAATTCATAACAAATCTCTAAATGAGATACAATTTCATATAATTTCTTTGTATTGCTGTAGATTGAACTGTCATATAACATAGCAAAATATTTAGATGAACTGCTGTTAACGCGTTAAGGGCTGTATAACCCATATGAGGATCATATTTTTCATTTATTTTTCTTTAAATATTGTAGAAAATTAAATGTTAAAAGTATGATATTAGTACATAAATTCACAAATGTTTTTTGAATTGAAAAAATAGGATACTGTGCTCAATGTGTCAATCAAATAAATAAATAAGGCGCAAACTCGAACAAGTTGACCTACTTGTTTGAAGATTTCAAGAATATAATCAGTAACCAGGCTACCAATTAGCCTTTTGTTTCACATACTTAATAAATCCATAGAGGCGGCACTCAATTAAGTTATTACTGGATCGGCGCGACCCTCGATATTTATTTTTTTGATTATTTTTCTCAGTATAATCCCCGGATGTAAAAAAGCGCAAAGAAAAAGAAAAATAAAATCAGAAAAAAGTAGGTGGGAGGAAGGAAGAGGCGAAGGTGAAGATGGAGCTGCGTAATGTATACCCTTATAGGGGCAGAAGAGAAGAGCGGTGCGTCAAAATACATGTATGTCGGAGCAAGCAAGGCGCTGATTTTGGTGCTCCGAAAATCGGAAAAGATCGCTGATAAACCGTTTAACTGACTGCTAACCTCCTCCTCCTACCCCTCTCTTCGTCTCATAGATTCGAGTGAGCGAGGCCCCGTCATTATAATATTTGCCAAGAGAGCTCGACGATTGCTTGTTATTTGCTCGAGGGCCAATTACCACGACGCGTGGGTGCGACGCGAGCGATGAACAAAAAAAAAAAAGGGCGGGCATGCGTAATTACTTGCGTTTCAAATAAGACTTGCGAACTTCACATAATACTACGCAGATTTTGTTTGCCTTCGTGAAAAAAAAATGCATTGAGATTTTATTCAAAATAAGGAACTACAAAATAAAAATCCATTTATTCTATATTTTTTTTATACTTAACCGTAATTTATATTTATATGTATAGAGCTAATGCACTGATGTTGTATGAAAAATGGTAACAGATAAAATAAATCTTGTTAGATTGTTCTAAAGTTCGGAAGACCATCAGAAAGGGCAGAAGAATACATGTTTTATGTCGATAAAGAAAAATGTATTTCATTGCTTTCTCCGATCGCTGATCCCGTACCTCATGTACATGTATGCAACGAATATAGCTCAAGCTGACAAACATCAGTGTAATAAAACTGGACAGGTTGCAAGAAAGTTGAAACAAAATGAAGAAGCTAGAAAGTCGTAAACTATATTATTTAAAAAATTACTCTCCTAATGTTCAGTTTGCGGTCAAGCGATTGTCTATATATGGTATATACACAGTGTTACTTGTTTGAATTTCTTATTGAAAAAAAAAAGAAAAAAACAGAAAAACTTGACCGGATGAATATGTATGTAAACAGTGATCAGTAAAGCATCAACGATATGCATAAGCGAAAAGACACTTTTAAGCTAAATGCGGAAACTCAACGATGAAAGGCTTTCCGAGGAAGCCCAAGTCTTAGGAAGGAATTGCGACTGGCTTAACTTTCGCTCAAGGATAAGTATAAGCACGATCGAGGACATCCGCTTCATTAATTTTCTCCTGCTTCGCTCTTCCTCGTATCAAGAGGTCTTCGCAGCGATCAATTTGCTTTTATTTCAACAAGCATTTAGTTCGTTATTTTTAATGCCTCGAATTATTTTTCTTCAAGATCTTATAGCTGCTATAAATTGATATAAATTTAAAACGAGACTGCACTGCATATCTTATTGAACAAGTAGATTGAAAAACAATCGAATTATCGATTAAAATAGACTAATACTTTCTCCGATGAAAGTAAAGCAAGCAAAAAATTCTTTGTAGCCTATATCGATCTTTTGGAGCTTCTTATTTAAAATAGGCAAGCAGTCTTCTCACAATCAGTACAATATGAGATTATATCGACTGCATTGGTCAAAGGCAAGAAAAAAAATGTGTTGCTTGTTTTTTTTTTCATGCGGAAAACTTTGCATTCGTCAAACCGACAGATATATTATTTATTCATCGACGTTTTCAATATTAACAACTGGGGATAACACTCAAGCCAAGTGAGTTAAAAACATCAATAAGCACTGCATAAAATTTGCGTTTACTGACAAAATCACCTAAATAAAACTAACTCTTGTTCCTCGTGGAGAAAGAAATTTGGCATTAGGTAGGTGTAACGCCGCTAGAGATGAGCACAGATAGTTAAGCACGCGAGTCCGCAGATTCATTGTTTCCGGATTTCCGGGAGCCGGTCGCACTTGGGTTTTCTCCCCAACTTCGCTGTTATAATTTGTTAATAATTGGTCTTTGGCGGCCTGGTGTGCGTAGTACGTATGTCGTTATAACGCACGTGTGAGTGCGCGCGCGCGCGTGTGAGTCTGTGTATATTGGGCACGCTGGCCAACTGGCCCCAGGTGCGCGCGCTCCTTCCTATAGGTGTATAAGCGTGCGGCCCGTGGCGCGTGCTCTCGCCTCCCTCTACCTTTTTAACCCCACGAGCCGACTTCAGCACTGCTCCCCCAAAACACCAGAGCCCGACAAGGCCTCCTTTCTACTCCACCGCTCCGTTTCTTTTCTTTTCGTTGCCACTTTTTTCCTATTCCCCTCTTTGTTATATGCAGCTAGGATGCACTCGACACCCAACTTTTTTTCCTAGTATACACTTTCTTCCGTTGGTTTTTCGATTAACGCGAGATAACGCGCCGCTGTGGAAACCTTCTTTCGATGCCTTGTCACCGATACACTTTTTTACGTACCTCGATTCCTCAACATCCTACTTTCGTTGAAGTGCTACTTTTGTTTTTCTCGAGTAGCAATTTTGTCAAGACTCTTGTTGAACGCCAAACGATATCCCACACGATTGACAGATTATCGCCGACTTACGTTATCGACTAAATTGCTTTTCTAAATTATAGAATTAAATTCTTAATAGCCTGCGTTAAAGTACAGAAATTTCTACAATATAATTAGAGTCTGCAATCATGTGACCATTTCATATTCTTGCATTTTATATCAATGCTATTATTACATTACTTTTTAACCGAATGCTCGTAGCTTTCCAAGCTTTCCAATCTAATGCAGTACAGGAGCACGGAGAGTCAGATAGTTGGGTGTTTTTCTTTCAGCTCATATTACAGACGTGGCTAACCTTTTACATTAAAATGTGAATATTGCACATTTTAAACCATCGCAGAAAACTATATGGGTAAGGTTCGGCATGAATCATTTCAAAACTTTTATGACTGTTTTCTGTCACTAATGAAATACGTTAAATATTAGTTCAATCAAGAGTTATATTCTTCTTTCGGTCTTTTAAAAGTATATTGTTTGTGATTTTTTGCTATAATATGTTTTTTGTTTAAAAACATATTTGGAACATTTTTTTAATACTCTTCGGTATTTTTCATAAAAATTTGGCTAAGATTTTTACCTCGTGTATGTATTAAAAAAATGTTAGAAGTATTTGCTTCCATTGGCAAGTGTTAGAATTGAATAATAAAAATCATAACGATGCACTTGAACAGTTCGATTGTCGAGAATGATAACATGAGAAAAGTACAGAAGAAAAGGAGCAGTTTTGAAAGTGCTTGCGCAATAACAACGTACTTCCGTATCAGTCTGGATCTGCGCATCAGAGTATAATTGTAATCTGTTTAATTAAGTCTTGCAGCGAGAGAAAGAGAGAGAGAGGGAGAGAGAGGTGCACCTCCTCGCCGTGGCCGAAAGTGCATATCCGTTTTATTGGCTTGCCCTTTTCTCTTCGCATCCTCTCCCGCGCGATGTAAGAATTCGACTGTCTCCGTTTCGGGTGCGCGCGCGGACATCGGAATCTGCGTGTGCGCAGGCGGAAAGGTGGTGTTTAGGGAGGCAAGAGGCAGGAGGGGGAGGCCATTGCCGAAATAACGTAATTATCGAATTACCCGGCAATCGCACCCCCACACGCGGTCAATTTGAATGATCGCGTGATCGCCGCTGCTGATGCTGAGACGCGCTTTTCGTGAACGTCTATGCGGCCGCAGCGAATGCGCAACCGGTAATTTCAGTCGGCAAGTGACGCACCGGCGATTTTTCAACGGTTTTAAAGTTACATAGGTGGAGCTGTATCCTTTTTGCCTGGCTATCTGCACAGCCTCCAAATCTACCGGCCACTGCTTCGACGTTTTATAAGCCCTGCACTACTTTCTTTTCCAGTTCTTCCTTTCTCTCTGATCTTCATCTTCGCAAAATTCATTTCAGCACTTGTTATCTTCGATCGCGCCATTACATTGTTCTATCTTCATTTGCGTTCTACAAACGCACAGTTAACAAAAACATTGTGTCGTTAAAAAAATTGAAAATTCTTTGCGCAACTTCTCGTAAATATTTTCAACGCAAAAAGATGCAAGTGGTATTTTGTGTATTGCAGGCGTTTACATTTTTTGACAATAAATTACAATAACCCAAGGTGCCCCATTGAGCTAAGCGTTGCATACTAATTTATGAAAAATGCTGCAACACAAAGAGACGCAAGTTCGATCGTTAATCAACATTATATCGAGAGAGACGAGCATTAATACGCCAAGCCTTAATTAATCTAACTTGACCTTTACACAGAGGCGACGAAGATTGAT